AACTTACTTCTATGAACACTAAATTTTTGTACCGAATTTTTAGATAAATAAATCCAATTTGTATACTGATTTTATTCCATAGTGTGGAGGGTATATTGAAACTATATATTATCGATCAGCGTAAAATTGTCCGTCTGTATGTTGCAATGACTCTAGCCCCTAAACAAATTGAGATAGATCGCCAAAATTTAGTATAGAGTATTTTGTCTGCGGGCAGATCAAGTCCACCCACTGCGTTTTTATTGGGTACCAAATTTCCCCACAAAAAATTATACATATTGGTCCAATTTTCTGGTACATTTTGGTTCTTCTTAGTTTTCAAATCTCTCCACTAAAAATTATATATAGGTCAAGTTTTTCGGGTAGCCCCCATATAAGATTACCCCTTTATATTCGAAATTTTGTGGTTCTTGAGTGCGTTTTCAACCGAATTCGCTGTAAATTGGTATTTTGTAGTATGCTAAAAGGTGGGTAAACAAATTCTTCACTGAATATTTTTAAATATAAGTCCATGTTTATACATAGGCCCCATACAAAGGTACCCGTCATTATACCCTCCACCAAAAGGTGGAGTTTATATTAATTGTATATATTCTTGGTCAGAATAAGGTACTATGTCGATTTAGGAATATCTGTCTGTCTGTTCGTCTGTTTAAATCATGATAGAGTTCGCAATATTTAAGATAGACATCTGAAAATTACACAGACATTGCTAGTACTCCTAGGATGTTTGTTATTGTAAATGTGATATATCGGAACTCCAATATTCGCTATTTTGAGGATTTTGGTCACGTTTTCTAACCGAATTGGCTGTAACTTGGCATTATAAATACTGGCCAAAGTTTCAGGGTACCATTATATATCCTCAATACGTGGTATTTTGGAGAAGTTTTTCCAAAAAACTTGGCGATAATTTTGTATTTTGGATTCTCATTGTATAACACATTTTAATATTAAAATGTTTTATACATTGTTACAAGAGACATTTGAATATTAAAGGTTTTTTGTAAAGAAGCTATAAATAGCTTCTGCGGAGAATATCCCAACAAAATACTAAAGGAATTGATGAGGATCAGTGGCGAGATCCGAAACTATAGTCTTCCCTGCTTTACCCCTTGGGGGACAATGCCATGCATTCCCCACTAATAAGTATTTGTTTTTTTTTTTTTATAAAAACAACAAACTACGATTTAGAAAAAGCAAAATACAGATGATATTCCAAATAACCCGCCAACACAATACTAAAAACAATAAATTTTTGGACCGATTTTTTAGATAAATAACCCCGATTTTTGTACCGCTACTAATCAACCAATTGAACTTGCGTGCATATCATTTGGAAGGTGAAAATATTGCTAATCACATGGAAAAAATATTCTGCTTAAAGGTGGGTAATGTAAGTCAATGTTTCTAAATAGGCCCCATGGAAAGGTACACGCGATTTTAGATATGTTCAAAGACCTTTGTCATTAGCACCCTTATAAAAGCCGTGATCAATTTAAGGTAATAATAAAAACTTCGATCACAGAACATATCGACTTTTTTACTTGCTAATACTGAATTGAAAATCTGTTTGATTTAATATGAACAAAATAGATCCAATCTTACTGCAATAAACCATTTTTAATAGTCAGAAACCCAATAAAACTCAATGTTATGACGAATGTATCAATGGATAACATAATTCCATGTTCACTAGGAGTGGTTTTGTAGTTTCTTGCCAAATTAATGGATTTAATTTCATAAGTATAAATACTAGAAATGCACACTGACCAATACATCAGTTCTTTGACTTAATTCGACTAAGCAACAGTTGCATTCGAAATATCTAACATGAAATACCTAACCATTGCTATTTTTGTTGTTCTCACTGTTGTGAGCATGGCACATGATCACCATGGTCATGGTCATGATGAACATCATGAGCATTATTCTCATCCGAAATATGAATTCAAATATGGTGTAAAGGACTTGAAAACTGAGGATATTAAAGAACAATGGGAACATCGGGATGGCGATAAAGTTAATGGTAAATACAATAAAAAAAAAATTAAGTACATAGAATTTAAAATAATTTTTATATGTTTATATAATAGGCGGTTACCTGTTGAAGGAAGCTGATGGCACCACTCGTGTCGTCAACTATCATGCCGATGATCATAGTGGCTTCCATGCTGATGTCAAAACAATTGGTCACGCTGAACATCCTAAAACTCACCACAAGCACCACGAAAAACATGATCATGAGCATCACGTTGAGCATGCCACCCACCATGTTGAACAAGATCATCATCATTCTGTTCCCGCCCATCATGATGAAAAGGAACATATCGTGAAATACGCCAATCATGTGCAACATGATGATCATCACAATGCCCACGATCGCGATGACCATCATGCCACCCACCATGTTGGACGCGATCATCATCATTCTGCCACCACTCACCACGATGAAAAGGATCATATTATAAAATATGCCAATCATGTAGAACATGATGATCATCACAATAGCTATTATCACGATGATCATCACGAAGATTATAAATATGAGCATTATTCCGGTGATCATCATAGTCATGCAACCAGTTTTGTTAAAGTAAAACACCACTAAACTGAGGCTAAACTTATCGATGGCGTTTTGAATTTACTTATTCTCTTTGTGAAATATATAAAATGTGCATGTGTAATAAAGCTATAAAAAACAACTAGTTTAAATAGTAATTAATATGTGAAATACAAATATTTTCATACCTATCGAGGGAGAAAATAATATTGAAGAAAATATCGAAATTTTATCAGAATTTGCTGTAAACTGGCACTTTGGGCATTGGTATAGAAACAAGTCTTTGCTAAAAGCATATACTTACATAATTTTAATTTACCTCCCATACAATAGTATCTCTAAAAGATGTACCCGTACCCAGGAATTGCGTTTTGCAGATCTTGTCATTTGTGCCAATATTTCCGCTCACTGTAGATTTTTAGCTGACCACTTTTTTGGCCGAATCACCCTGGACCACTTTCTTTAAAGAACTTAACCATTGTTATACCCTACACAACTATGTTGTCAGAGTATTATAGCTTTGTGCAGCCCCAAATGTTTGTAACCGGAAATTTTTGCATGGAGAAGGGGATCGGGCCAAAGAATAACCATGCCTGCTTTGATAAAGATCGGTCCCTGACTTTTGTGTGAAAAATTACAAAATTTGTATCATATAGCGTATAGATTTACCCCTGAAGGACATAAACACGAGAAGTTGATAGTATATCCAAGAGGAGTGGTTGACCTTTAAACTGATACTAATTTTATTGTCGTATGTACTCGGATGTGGGAGTTACACTTAAATGTTTACAGGTGCTTACGTAATCAGACATTATTTAGTAACCCATTACCACACTAGACGGCGGAAATATGGAAATATAGCGCTCATCGCTTTCACTAATGTCCAGGTATGATCAAGGACAACGCCTATAATTTTCGGTGATGATCAGATAATAATGTTGGGATGAAGTGGACCGAAAACGTTTTTTTTTTCGAGTTATCTACAGGCCACAATTGAAAGCCGAACATCACAAAACAACCCACTTTGAAGGGAATCTGGAAAAGTAATTAGAAGGATTGTACTGAATATTAGTAATATTTGTGGACCTCTGGTGGGTCATGAGGGTGCAAACATCGCTAAATATTGCCCAAGCTCAGAATGTGGTACCACAGAATGTTATATGTTCATGGAAGTTGTGTAGGGTATCATATGGTCGGCCCCGTCCGACTATACTGCTCCGCTCATTGGTTTCCGCTAGGTTGTTAAATTCAGTAAGCTATAAATAAGTTATTGTAAATCGAATAAATGTATTGGGTTCATGATTAGGTTCATAATATGGTATATACTTATACACAAGAAATGACTATGTTTATATACAGTGGTGGTCACAGAATTAAAACATTTACTGTGGTAAAAATTTTTTGATCAGCCCTCGATTCGTTTGAAGTATTTTTGAAAATTTTTTAATCCAGAACACTTCGATATACTGCACTTAAGAGATTTAGTGTGAAAATGGAAAATTATTGCATGCAATTTTTCCATAAATAACGGTTTTTATGAAAATACATCGACTTTGAAGTGGCCATATAATTAAAACATTTCGTGATTTTTTACTTTACTGCATTTTTTTGAAAATATTTTTTAAAAAAGCTCTTTAATTTAGATAAATTATGTAAACTAAGCACCAATAAAATTATTTACTGATAAAAATTTTTGAAAAAATTTGTAAAATCTATCAAAATTGCCAAAAATTTGTACAGTACACCTTACATTCAGAAAATAACCCTTATTATAGAAAATAAAGGTCCGAATACACCAGAAATTGCTAGAATTAGTAGAAAACAATAAATAATTCTCAAAATATAAATATATAAATAAAAACTAAAAAAATTGGAATTAACCTAAAAGAACGATTCAATTTCGATAGCCTTTATTGAAGAAGGCCAGAATATTTTTGCAGTATGTGAGGAAACATCGATTGATATTGGCATTTATCGATTGTTCGAGTAGTACAGTCAAGTCTCAATTTGATACGTTGTGGAAAAGTTCGTGTCAATCGGACAAGCATTAACAGTTTAATGTACCATTTAACAAAAATCGGAAGAAATCGAAATTTCGGGCAAACCGAAAGATATATAGGGATTTTGGTACACACTTTTACCTTAAATCCGACGCAAATATATGGAAGCTATATCTAAATCTGAACCGAGTTTTCCCAATTTCAATAGGGTTGGTGTCAAATATGTGACATACTTTGTTTGCAATTTAACATGGACAGACATACGGAAGTACATGCATAAATCGACTTAGAAAGTGATTCTATGCATATTCTCAAAAGGATCTATCTCGTTTCCTTCTGCCTGTTACAAACATATGCACAAAGACATAATACCCTGTACCACAGTGTGGTGAAGGGTATAACTAGAAGCCTACAAAATGAGGACCACATCTCTTAAGTATAATTTTTCAAATTTTTAACTGCATCTACCTTTAAATGATGCTGACATTTTGTACCTCGATTTTGAACTTTACTTCTACTTTTAATATCCAAACGTGAATATTTTGTGCGATCAAATTTCTAAAAAAAACCTATTTTTCAGGCCAAATTTTTAGATCTGTCAATTGAATGATATGGGTACCCACGATCAGTAAGTTTTTTTTAAATTTTGGATGAAATAAAATCTTCTTCGTGAAAGTCCATCTACTAGAACGGCGGGAATTGGTCTTCCAAAACACGAAATTTGGCAAGAAAAAAATGTTTTTGAAAATATGTCGGATTTAATAGAATTCTGTGGATCATTTTCGTTTCAATAAATGACCTGATTCGGATTTTGAACTGCTGCGAAGACAGAACTTTAAAATCTTAAGCCGAAAGAGAGATGTACCCAGTTGTGTTATTTTGTTATCATCTGATTTATCGTGGTGTTTAGATTATGCAGATATTTTTAAATACATTTTTAGGTGTATGTATGCCATTAATATAATGATAATAATGACGTAATCTGCTATATTTTTATTATTTTTCTTATATTTCGCGAAAATTGGCGATTATTATAATATGGTTTTTGGTCAATATAGTAAACAGCGTAATTTTTAAGCATTGTTTCTTATGCCCAAAATTAAAACCTCAATAACTTTCGTGCGCAACAATCAAAAATTTGATCGTGAACGGTTTCGGAGTCAGAACATTTTTCTCTCTATGTGTACTAAAAATCATTGATGTACCACGAAAACAAAAAATCCAATTTTTTGAAAATGGAATATTAAAAAATTGGCAAGATTGGCCATATATATTCGGAATGTCCGACTTGGGCCTAATATGCACCGTTTTGTTGTATGATTTGTTGCCATTTTAAAGGTAACTTCATAATGCCTCCCTCATAGAAGTCCTGCTCTCTATTTGCAAAAAAACTCTGGTAGTCGATTTTCACAATCCTCCATAGATACCAATTTTTTATGATTAAAGAAATTTTGCAATGCACGAAAAAGATGAACACGAGACCTCTTCTGTTATCCACACTTCCTAAGCTCAATCGCTATAGTATAGCTCCACGAGGGCTTGGAATTTTAATTTCAAGTAACGCTTTTTTTCTTTTGTTTACATATTGAAGGTTTAAGGAGAAATTGCCAACTGAAGTGACTGTAATTCGAAATTCCCAATTCCTGTTGAATAAACCTCTTCCCAGAAAATTTTCAATTTTTGTTTTTTTTGTCATTAATCCTAATTTTAATTTTTCGAGGTCTCAGAGAATAGTAGAAATGTCTGCGCAATTCAATTATTTGATATACCTCCATATAGGTATATGTATTGGCATAGACGCCATTAACTTCATTCGAATCTTTAAGGTCTTAGCAATAGTTTTCAAACTAATTTCAATCTATCGATACCATCTATAATATCAATTCGATTAATACCGGAACAAATGAAATATTGTAGTCTAACGTAAAAATTACTAAATTTCAAATTCTTTCATTTTTCCGCACGAGATCATATTGAATTCAATCGCCATATAAATAAATAATTACTAATCTAAGTCTTTATTTCCTAAAAAATGCCAAACCAATAAAAAATATACACAATTCGAATCATTTTTATTACCACACTTTATCATGATTCTAAGCTGCATAAATCACTGCAATAAAATTGCGGTACTAACATAGGTTATGCAAATCAGTACAACACTTTTATATTGCATTTAGTATAAATACTGAGTTTGTTCAAAAAATTGGTATTAGTTATTTGGCTTTTATCAAATTGGCAAGAATAGATTTTCAAAAAATTAAATAAAAAAAAAACAAAATGAAATTTGTAATTATTGCCCTTATTGTGACACTTTGTGTTGCCATGACCATGGCTCAAGGTCATCAGGATCACTATGAACAACATCAGGGTCATCATAGTGAGGAACATCATGAGGATCACCATGACAATCACCATGACGATCACCACGACGGTCATAAGGACTATTATTCTCATCCCAAATATGAATATAAATATGGTGTCAAAGATTTGAAAACCGAAGATATTAAAGAACAATGGGAAGAACGTGATGGCGATAAAGTTCATGGTAAGAGCGATAAATTTATAGTATTTTCTTAAAATAAATATAATTCCTCGCAACTTTGCAGGTGGCTATCTCTTGAAGGAAGCTGATGGCACTATTCGTGTTGTTAACTATCATGCCGATGATCACACCGGTTTCCATGCTGAAGTCAAAACAATTGGCCATGCTGAACATCCCCAAACTCACTACAAGGATGATGATCATCACCATGAACCTCGTATTGAATATGAACATGACGACCATTATAGTCAACATCATAATGAATATGACAATGGTCATTATGATTCATATGGCCACTATAATTCTTATCACCATTAAACTGTATTTATGGGCGGCAAATTGTATTAAAATAATCGAATAGATTAGGCGGATAAATGTATTTTTCGTTTAATTCAACTTGCAATCACAAATGTACATAAACACATAATTTTTGTAGTAAAATAAAGTACCGCTGAATGACATACATAGTATTGTAATTAACTCATTTGCAATTATTTTTAAATAAATAGAACAATAAAAAACCAGTAAGGAAAGTAGTAAAGTCGGATTGGGCCGACTTTATGATATCCTTCACCACTTTGGGGATATTCTACATATGTATCCTAAAACACGTCGCCTTTTCAAAGGAACATTGACAAAAAATTGAACGAACTTAAATATGCGATCTTTATGTATAAGTAAACCGACTAACATCAATTCCAACACATGCCATTGTGCAACTTATTCCATACTTTGTAAAGAGATTTAAAGCAAAATTTACACACGCTATTTGGTATGCTACCCTGTTTAAATGTAATATCAATCAGGCACCCATTGATTATTTGAACCGATTTCAAGGGAACTTGTAGAGATTAATTTATATTAATTCCAGTACGATGTGTCAATCGGCCTAACTATGGGTCTTTAGTGTACAATTTACATAAAATCGGGCGAAAGTATATATAGGAGCTATATGTAAATCTGAACCAATTCCAAGAAAACCTGACACACGAAAGTCTATAGTAACTTCAGTACATTGTACAAAATTGTGTGCCGATCGGACAATCTTTGGATCTCTAGATCGGTCGAAAATATATATTGAAACTATATCTATATCTGAACCGATTTTCACGAAACTAGGCACACGTCATTCTAGACTCAATTCAGTACACTATGCAAAATTTCGTGCAAATCGAAAGATATATAAGGGAAAATCTGAACCGATTTTCACTAAACTTAGCACACAATATTTCTGGATCTAATTCAGTACCCTATGCCAAATTCCATGCACATCGAAAGATATATAGGGACTTCGGTGCACCATTTACATTAAATCGGACCAAAATATATATGGGAGCTATATCTAAATCTAAATCTGGCAGACATTATTCTAGGCTCAATTCAGTACGTTATGCCAAATTTCGTGAAAACTGAAATATATATGGGGGCTATATCTAAATCTGGACCGATTTTCACGAAACTTGACAGACATCATTCTAGGCTCAATTCAGTACGTTGTGCCAAAATTCGTGCAAATCGAAAGATGTATACAGACTTTGGTGCACCATTTAAATTGTTAAATTGTATATTCCGTTATATGTGTAAATTCAAACTTCTTGGGATTTGTTTAACTCGATTTTTAGTTCCAAGGGTATCAGACATTTTCTCGGAACAGTTTTATTAATAAATTTACTTTTCTGTGCGACATTTTTTTCAAGATTGTGCAACTTTTTTTTAATTCCCAGCAGTAATACTGGTTCAAAGTACAAAAAACTACAATGAGCACATACGAATATCGATTTTTGAGGGCCCTATTTAAAATCAAATGGCATTTTTGTAGAATATTTGGAAATTAAAAAGTCTCTTTCTGTGTATTTAGTAAATGGTCCAAAAAAATAAGGATGAGAAAGTCGAACAAGGACTCAATATAGAGTTTCATAAAATATTCATCTTTCGATATAACAAACCAGTAAGGAAAGTGGTAAAGTCGGACGGGGCCGACTATATGATACCCTTCACCACTATGGGTATATTAAACAGGACTATTAGCATGAAATTGGATGAAATAAAATATGTGATATTTATCTAAATGTGAATCTACGTAGATCTATCCATAAAGTATGTAAATCTACTTCAAACAAATATAAATGGGTCATCCGTTGGGCTATGTCTGTACTTCTAGAAAACGCAACTACATAATTCTATGCTCAATTTTGTACGTTGTGCAAAATTTGATGTCAAACTGACTAACATGAGGAGTTTGATGCCCAGTTTACTTGAAATCGGGCGAAAATATATATGGAAGCTCTATCCAAATCAAACAAACTTGTCACAGGATAGGTTATACTAATTTCAGAACGTTTTGTTCCTATTGGTTCTTGGTGCGTCAATTACTTAAAATCAATCTATAATTAAAGGGAGCTATATCTAAATCTGGACCGATTTCAGTACGTTATGCCAAATTTTGTGCAAAACGAAAGATATATAGGGACTTTGGTGCAACATTTACATGAAATCGGACGAAACTATATGTGGGAGCTATATAGAAATCTGGACTGATTTTCTCGAAACTTGGCAGACATCATTCTAGACTCAATTCAGTACGTTATGCCAAATTTCGTGCAAATCGAAGGATATATAGGGACTTTGGTGCACCATTTACATGAAATCGGACGAAACTATATATGGGAGCTATATGTAAATCTTGACCTATTTTCACGAAACTTGGCAGACATCATTCTAGGCCTAAATGATTAGGCTGTACCAAATTTCGTGCAAATCAAAAGATATATAGGGACTTTGGGGCACCATTTACATGAAATCGGACGAAACTATATATGGAAGATATATCTAAATCAGGACCGATTTTCATGAAACTTGGCAGACATCATTCTGGGCTCAATTAAGTACGTTATGCCACATTTCGTGCAAATCGAAGGATATATAGGGACTTTGGTGCACTATTTACATGTAATCGGACGAAACTATATATGGGAGCTATATCTAAATCTGGACCGATTTTCTCGAAACTTGGCAGACATCACTCTAGTCTTAATTCAGTACGTTATGCCAAATTTCGTGCAAATCAAAAGATATATAGGGACTTTGGGGCACCATTTATATGAAATCGGACGAAACTATATATGGGAGCTATATCTAAATCTGGACTGATTTTCTCGAAACTTGGCAGACATCATTCTAGGCTCATTTCAGTACGTTATGCCAAATTTCGTGCAAATCGAAAGATATATAGGGACTTTGGGGCACCATTTATATGAAATCGGACGAAACTATATATGGGAGCTATATCTAAATCTGGACCGATTTTCTCGAAACTTGGCAGACATCATTCTGGGCTCAATTTAGTACGTTATACCAAATTTCGTGCAAATCGAAAGATATATAAGAACATTAGGGCACCATTTACATGAAATCGGACGAATCTATATATGGGAGCTATATCTAAATCTGGACCGATTTTCTCGAAACTTGGCAGACATCATTCTGGGCTCAATTTAGTACGTTATGCCAAATTTCGTGCAAATCGAAGGATATATAGGGACTTTGGTGCACCATTTACATGTAATCGGACGAAGCTATATATGGGAGCTATATCTAAATCTGGACCAATTTTCTTGAAACTTGGCAGACATCATTCTTGGCTCAATTCAGTACGTTATACCAAATTTCGTGCAAATCGAAAGATATATAAGAACATTAGGGTACCATTTACATGAAATCGGACGAAACTATATATGGGAGCTATATCTAAATCTGGACCGATTTTCACGAAAATTGGCAGACATCACTCTAGGCTTAATTCAGTACGTTATGCCAAATTTCGTGCAAATCGTAAGATATATAGGGACTATGGGGCACCATTTATATGAAATCGGACGAAACTATATATGGGAGCTATATCCAAATCTGGACCGATTTTCACGAAACTTGGCAGACATCACTCTAGGCTTAATTCACTACGTTATGCCAAATTTCGTGCAAATCGTAAGATATATAGGGACTTTGGGGCACCATTTATATGAAATCGGACGAAACTATATATGGGAGCTATATCTAAATCTGGACCGATTTTCACGAAAATTGGCAGACATCATTATAGGCCTAAATGATTAGCCTGTACCAAATTTCGTGCAAATCGAAAGTTATATAGGGACCGTTTACATTAAATCGGTTAAATATATATGGGAGCTATATCTAAATCTGAACCGATTTTTCCCAATTTCAATAGGGTTCGTCCTTGGGCCGAATAAGTGACCTATGCCACTTATTCATCCAATTCGGAACATAAATGCGACCTGTACTTTGTTTACAATTTAACATGGACAGACAGACAGACGGACGGACGGACGGACATGCATAAATCGACTTAGAAAGTGATTCTATGCATATTCTCAAAAGGAACCATGGGTCTATCTCAATTATTTGTGCCTGTTACAAACATATGCACAAAGACATAATACCCTGTACCACAGTGTGGTGAAGGGTATAAAAACATGAAACGTTTTTTTACAAACTTTAGAGTTACCAGCAACATTTATCACGCTATAACTAAAAATCTTGAAAAATTACGAATTTGTAAGGACATTCTTGTTGCACAGTGTTTGTCATTGTGATTTTTTATTATTGCCAGAAAAAAGTTGAATTTTTAATGGGGATCTATTTATTTGCTCTTCTTGTATTTACTAAAATAGTCTTCAAAAGTTCTTATATACAAATTTACAAATATCTAATGTATCCAGCCCGTTGAAAATCATAAACATTTGAAATCGAGGATGGGGGTCTCCTTACGTACACTCCAGCAACAATAGCATGCAGTACCGAATACCCTAGCAATAATATCAATTTGTGACTATTTCAAATTAACTACATATCTTTATTACGAATTTGTATTTGAAATAAAGGTAGTCTCCTCTGTCATCAATACGCAATATAATTCGTTTCATTATATAAACTATTAAAAAATTAATTCCTACAAAATACGTTGTAAGTAATTTGTCAAAAATTTTCATCTGTTACTGCAATAAAATTCGAATTCAGTAACCGAATAACTATTGGCAATAAAAATATAAAATCGATATCTGAATCAAAAAAGTGCCGTAATCAAATGAAATATCGGAATTTTATATATTGATGGTTTTACTTTCGCACAGCTAAATGGATGATTTCTAACACTATGCGGTCCCTTGATTTAATAAATTGATCCACCCAGCATTCATCAACTATATCAAGCCCCTCCTCTAAACAGTTACTTTTGAGGATATGCGCAGAATCTCTTTCGGTCGCATTTACCATCCGAAATGAATGAAATTTGGTACATAGAGCCTCTTATATTTAGTCCATGGACGAACCTTGTTGGCGAAAATCGATTTAGATATAGCTTGCCAATATATTTTCGTTTGATTTTACAAGAGTGCACTAAAATCTCTATGTTTGTCCGATTTGCATAGCGTTTCGTATTGAGTCTCGAATGATGTTACAGTCGACTCCGCTTTACTGAAACGGAAAAAATTCTGGATGTTTGTTTCAGTTATCCGATGTTTTCACATAAGCGGAGTTCGGTTATCTGAAAATAATTTCAGTTATCCGAACTTCTCATAAGCGAACAATTTTTCAGTTTAAGGAATTTCAATAATTCATATTTTATATCGAATACGTAGGTTTCGAATTTTATGAAAATAGACGATCGAAATCGAAACATGTTCACAGCTAAAGGGATTTTTATTATGAACTGTCTTACATATTACTCTATAATATAATATTTATGATAGATTGATTGATTTTGAAAACGAAAATATCGGTCCATGTCTTTGAAAACGTTTCATACTAGCCGTTTTAAGCCTTTTTATTAGCTGACTTGCCTGTAATATGGGATTGTGAATAAGTAACATTTTTCTTTGCAATATTTGTTCATTGTAGATTCACATTTTTACACTGTTCCTATTTCAAATTTCAGTATAATCTTGAAGGCTTTAAATAATAACTGAGATTAGCAAAAGTGGACGACCTTCTCAAAATTTTGTTAATTATACATTTTGTAGCATATCTTGGTACATCTTTGTTACTTGTATATAAAATATAGAAATGCGGAACAGATTTTTTGCCAATTTTCCAAATGTGTTAAAAAGTTTGGCCGCACGAATTTAACGTTCTTCGACGTCAGATTTATATATACTTGACACACACGTTCCATACGTCGGAAAAATCTTTAATTGCATTTTATGGTGGGCTTTGAAGATTATCATTATGTTTCATTATCATGATTTTCAGTAATACGGGGTGATTTGAAAGGTCATTGCAATATTTGACTCCAAAATCTATTTCAGTTATCCGATATTTTCAGTTATGCGAAGTTTCACTCATGCGAAGTAAATTGTGGCCGATTAACGTAAAATGTAATGGTGCAGGAAATCAATTTCACTTATCCGATATTTTTCAGGTAAGCGACTTTCAGTAAAGCGGAGTCAAGTGTAATTTTTTTATACCCTACACAACTATGTTGTCAGGGTATTATAACTTTGTGCAGCCGCAAAAGTTTGTAACGCCGCGTAATATTGGTCCGTCTGTCCATTATAATTTCTAAACACGATACAGGCCACAGTTATGGACCAATTTTCACGCAATTTTGGATGTAGAATAGGTTCTGGCCAATGAAGACCCCTATTGTTTTCGGAAAAGATCGTTTAATATGTAGGGGATGGAATGGAGCAAAAATTTTATTTTTGTCTGACTTTCTGGTCGCTCCAGGGACGCAATTATGGCTCAAACATCGTGAATTTTTGCATGGAGAAGGGGATCGGGCCAAAGAATAAGCATGCCTGTTTTGATAAAGATCGGTCAATATTTAGCGGGTCAAATGGAATATTGTGTGAAAAATTACAAAATTTGTATTCTATGGCGTATATATTTGCCCCTGAAGGACCTAGACCCAAAAAGTTGATAGTATGTTCAAGAGGAGTGGTTGACCTTTAAATTGATACCAATTATATGGTCGTATGTACTCAGATGTGGGAGCTACACTTAAATATTTACAGGGGCTTACGAATTCAGACATTATTTAGTAACCCAAAACCAAAGTAGAGGGTGGAAATGTAGTACTGGTCGCTTTGAAAATTTCCATGAGGTTCCAGTTATAGTCAAGGAAAACGCCTATAACTTTTGGTGATGATCAGATAATAATTTTGGGATGAAGAGGACCGAAAACTATTCATTGTGTGTGTGTGTTTTTTTTTTTGAGTCCATCTATAGGACACAATTGAAAGCCCAACATCACAACATAACCCACGGTATAGAGAATCTGGACAAGTACAGCCCTTGTCTACTGAATACTGAATCCTGACCATTACTCAGGATTCAAGAGGGTGCAAATAACTATATCTGACAATATATTTTCTATCGACAATATATTGTCCAAATGCAATAATTTCAATTTTAATTCGATAAAATTGGAATTCTCGAATTCTTCAAAATTCATATGGAGTTCCATAATATCATTTATCATCAAATTATTTCATCAGGCAGATAGAAGGACACTGCAAAATGAACGTAGATTTTTAATCTGATATTTCCCAATATATTCCTAAATACGTCTGAAATGGTTATTCCCTTTATAAAACTTAATTCTTAACGAAAATTTCCTATTTAACCTTAACTCCATTAAATAATTTAATATTATGAATATAATATTGAACGAAATATATGTTTTTGTTGTATTTACTTTTACCCAATATACACTGTAATTGTACCATGTTATTATTCATACATATCTTTGTACATACATACAAACGTATGCTGGTTATAATTAGGTGGAGCAGTGTAAATTAGCTAAATTGAAAATTAAAACAAAGAAATAGGTCATAAATATGTACAACAACAACAACAGCGTGTATTGGTGTAAACAGGTGTTGTCAACGCCTGATTTTGTGGTTATTTCTCAGAATTTGGAACTCTTTGATGTTAATTGTTTGAAATATTTAATTAAATACATGTTTGCCGAAACAATTTTACTACGAAAATAAGCAGAGAAACCAAGCCACAATAGCATTATTGTTATTAGTCAGTTGCCTTAACGCCCAAAAATAGATTTGAATGGAATTGAACTGAAATGAAGTGAATTGCAGGCAGCCAACCGGCCAACCAACACAGCCAACTACCGGCAAAAATATACGAATGAATGATTCTTGCAAAAATGCTATGACGTAGTCATATCAGCAACAACAACAATTACTACGGCAAAATACACCAACAAACATTTTAGTACTTAAAGTTTAGTACACAATAACCTGAAAATATGAAAGGAATTTTACACTTCTAAAATGCAAAGAAAGAAACATTGCATTAAAAGTTAATTAATGAAAACATTTATTGAATTTATTTGGCTAAGAGTGTGTGGTATAAAAACCATACATCCAACTGGAATTCGATATCAGTTCTGTGCTTTTCATCAAACGAAAAACATAACTTCTTTAGCTAAATAGACAATAATAATGAAGTTCCTTACTATCGGTTCATTTTTGGCTTTGTCCGGATTGGCTGCTGCCGGACATTTACATGGGCATGGTCTAACCAGTTATTCGGTAGTAACTAAACATGAACCCTCCATACATCATAGTTGGTCTCATGGTCACGATAGTGACAGTCATGGTTTGTCCGCTAGCCATGGTTACGAGAGCCATCATGGCTGGGAGGGACATCAAGAAAGTCATATCGTATCCAGTGATTCCAGCCATGATGCTGGTCATGGTCACGAATGGCAACATGATGAACATTATGATGAATACGCTCATCCTAAATATGAATTTAAATATGGTGTCAAGGATCCCAAGACTGGTGATGTTAAGGATCAATGGGAAGAGAGAGATGGTGACAAAGTTAAGGGTAAGAATAATTGTTTTAAAATTTGTGTTAGACAGGTTCTTAATGAAATTTTGTTTTTTTCAGGCGGCTATACCTTGAAGGAAGCTGATGGTACTACCCGTATTGTGGAATACCACGCCGATAAACATAATGGCTTCAATGCTGTAGTCAAAAATGTTGGTCATGCCCATCACGAGGAAGCTCATCATGTTGAACACGAACATGGACATAGCCATGGTTGGTAGATACTTAAGCTCGTGGATGCAAACAATAAATTAATCATAAACGATTCTGAAATGTGATACACTGTATATATAAATAAAAGGCAATATGTCAAAAAGTAAATTTTATGGACAATATTTACGAATATGATTTTATATATAGTATTCTATATGACAGGGTCAACCATATTATACACTACACAACTAACACAGAAATCTAATTTCTGCGGATCTATTTTCCGAGACTGGAATACATTTTTTCGATATTTGCATTCTCTTGACCGATTATAGTCAACAACTCATTTCTCTTACATCGAACATTTATTTTATAGGATTCAAATTTTTCTTATTTTACACACATATGGCTTGGTTCTTTTGATCAAGACTTTGCCCCCAATATGATATAAAATTCCATACCGATTAGCGCTATATTTCCGCCCTCTAGTGTGGGAATGGTAATACTAAATAACATCGGTAATACTAAATACGTAATATTTAAGTATAACTTCCACATCCGAGTAGAGACATCACTACAATTGGTCTCGATTTAAAGGTCAGCCAATCCTCTTGGATATATTAGGTTTGGGGAAAAATAAATCCATTATTGTCCTGGTGGAAACACCAGAAACATTAGGCCCCGAACTTAACCTACGTGCGTTTCGTGACGATTTCGTTACTATGGCACACATATCTATATCGACTCAGCTAGGGTTGATATGATGATCGGTATAAGCTTTAATATCCTGAAACATAGTTGTGTAGGGTGCAAAAAGTCAAATTGGTCTTAAATTCGGCCTCTACCATCTAAATAGGCCATATGTAAATTTACCACACTGTAATGCAGGGTATTATGTATTTCGCCCGACTTTATGTAATTGTAGCACCAAAGAGCCAAATTTAGACCGATTGGCACACAAATGTTGAACAGCGTACTGAATTAGTTCCAAATTTATGTATGCGAAGTTTTGTTGGAATCGGTTTAGATGTAGATATAGCTCCCATATATAGTTTCCTCCGATTTTATGTAAATTATGCACCATACGGTGAATGTTTGTTCGATTGAGACAAAATTTTGCATAGCGTATTGAAGTTGCTTAAGGTTGACATCTGTATTTAAATTACTGCAGGTTGTCCGTAAAGTTTTGTTGAAATCGGTACTGATTTAGATTTAGTTCCAATATATATTTCCGTCCGATTTATTGTAAATAGAGCACCATACTGCCAACATATTTGATGTAGGCGATGTTTTGTTGGAAGCGGTTCAGGTTTAGAAGTAGCGCCAATATATATTTGGGTCTGATTTTATGTAAATGGCGTTTTACATAATGTTTGTATATCAAATTTAGTCTAGAATGCTTTCTGTTAAATCGGTTCAGATTTAAATATAGCTCACATATATACTTCAGTCCCATTTTATGTAAATGGTGCACCATATATCCTGCTCTATTTGCACGATATTTTGTTGTGGAAATCAGTTCAGATCTATCTACAGGATATTGTATATATGAGCTTCTCTTGTATATACCCAAAGTGGTGAAGGTAACATATAGTCGGCCCGTCCGACTTTTGAACTTTCCTTACTGGTTAAATATCATTTTGTACAACATATATTCCTGTCAAGAATTTTTAATATTGGTCCATTTTATGATTGCCTCCATATAATATATATCCGTTCCGAATTCCAAACTCTAAAACTTCTAATCGCGCAATACCCATGTACAATAGTTAGTATTTTTCATGCCTTTTAAATCCCATTAAAAAAATTAACAATACACTTTTTTATTGCTTACAAAAGTTTCCCACTCTTAGTACAAATATTTAGTATATTTATATTTCAAACCATTCACTGTGGTACAATGTTTAGTACGAATTTCCAAGAATATTTATGTATATCATTCTATTTCCAAAAAGTATTAATGCATAACATAGTCTTTATAATAGTGAATTCTACAATGTTTCCAATCTCTATTTCTAGCGGTTCCATTGTAATTGTCATTATATTTGTAATAGTAAAAGTTTCATATTTCTACTCTACCGTTTCTATTGTAATATAATATTTAGTACATTTTAGTAATAATTTTCAAAAAATATTTTTGCTCATAATTTTATTTTTAACAGTTTATGCTTATATTAGTACCTTTAGTACTAATTTCCAAATTCGCTTATCATTGACAAAGCAGCATAACAAATTTTAAAATTCTACTTACAACCGTTCTGGAGTAATGCTGTTTTGGGACTTTTTAGTACATTTTAGTACTAATATTTATGAAATATTTTTGTGCTATATTCAATTTGTAATAGCTAAAGCTTCATACCAAGTTTCAGATATGTATATCTATTTAGTACTTTTTAGTACCTCTTAGTACTAAAATTCCAAAACACATACCACTTCTCTTATCCTAGACAAAGCTGTGTACCAAATTTCAAAGTTCTACATTTAAACGTTCCCGCACAATTCAGTTTTTAATATTTTTTAGTACTTTTTTTTTAGTACCGTTTCTTCTGGGCGTTGATGATCAGTCAGTCATTTATAACTGAACTCTTTTATATATAGATGAGGAGTACCTTCATATACAGTAGATAGATAGCGGTCCAGGGAGACCAGAACCGGCCCTACATACCAAATTTCGTGAAATTGATCCATAACTGTGATCTGTATCGTTTTTAACAAATTATAGTGGATAGACGGACACACGCGCCTTGATCGAATCAGTTAGTCAAGGTATGATAATCGGTATACTAATGGTTATATTCATAGAACTTGAAATTGTGTGGACTTCTATGACAATCTAGCCGTCTGTACATCTGTTCTAATGATACAACCTTTGGAAAGTACCGAGATACAAAAGTAAACGGTCAGGTTCGAAGTTTATTATACTCATGTTCCACCCTAATACGGATTATCAATATTGGTCCACATTTTAGGGTTTTGAGAATTTTTGAAAAAAATTCTCATTAAATTTTGCTGAAATGTGTATTTCATGTGCATTTTGGTTTGCAACATTCATTTAGAACTAGTAAGGAAAGAACTAAAGACGGACGGGCCGACTATATGATACCCTTCACCTCTATGGGTATATTAAACAGCACTATTAACATGAAATTGGATGAAATAAAATATGTGATATATATATAAATGTGAATCTACTTAGATCTATATATAAACATGTCATTCGTTTGCTACAATGGGACAAATGTATGTAAATCGACTTCAAACAAATATCAATAGGTCATCATTGGTTAATGGATTTAAAAGGGATGAAAGATTTCATAACAATTTGACAAACATGAGGAGTTTGCTACACCATCAGCTATATCTAATCTGAACCGATTTTTCCCAATTTCACTCTAGGCTCAATTCAGTACGTTATGCCAAATTGCGTGCAAATCGAAGGATATATAGGGATTTTGGTGCACCATTTACATGAAATCGGCGAAACTATATTGGGAGCTATATCTCCACCGATTTTTACGAAATAGCACCATTTACACTAAATCGGACGAAAATATATATGGGAGCTATATCTAAATCTAGATCGATTTTCACGAAACATGGCAGTCATCACTCTAAGGTGCAAATCACATATATATAGGGACTTTGGTGTCGTCAAATGAGCTGTGCCAATTTTTATCCAAATCGGATTATAAATGCGACCTGTACTTTGTTTACAATTTAAAACCAACAGACGGAAGGACGGACATGCATAAATCGACTCAGAAAGTGAGTATTCTGAAAATGAACCATGGGTCTATCTCGTTTCCTTTTGCCTGTTACAAACATATGCACAAAGACATAATACCCTGTACCACAGTGTGGTGAAGGGTATAAAAATCGTCTGTATAGTTCCACGTTATACCCTATATTATACATGACATATTTGCTACAGTTCCTTGTCATTACATTGGGGTTGGATCGTCATTACGCGTAAATGTTGGTATAAATATGTTGGAGGCTCAAACTTAACGTCTTTTTCACTTGTTCGATTTTAAATACATAATTTTCAATGTACTTTAGACTTTTTTATCTATCAATATCTAGTTTTTATCTCTAGGTCTCTGTATTCTATATATTAGCCTATCTCGACAAAGCTAAACTCTACACTTTTTTATCACAAAGCAAGTATTAACAAGTGAAAAAGCGTTAAGTTCGGCCTGGCCGAACTTTGGATACCCTCCACCATAGATATACTGACAGGTACTAGAAATTAAAATATAGGGAACATATCAAAAAGTAGACCTATACCAACATTTCTAAAAACGGATTATGTAAACCTTAATACAAATTCCAGAAATTTATTTAAAATGTATTTATAATGGATAATTATACCCTCAGCATTATGGCTAATGAGGATGTATACACTTTAACACGGTGAAAATGTGCCTCATTGTGGTTCTAGACCCCATGTTTCTTTGGACCAAATCCGTTTCAGAAAATTTAGATTTCATCCGAACTTTGCCCATCTTATTTTTTCTCCAAACTTAGTTCAAATTCGAAGATGGGGAAAATCGGTTCACTCCTTCTGGAACCTCCACACAGAGACTAGGTCTAAATGCGGCTATAGTTCATTATCGAACCTTACGTTCCATTTTTTTATCTCGCTATCCTCCGCAGGTGAAATGATTACAACAGAGTCTTAGAACCAAACTCAAAAAGCGGAACAAATCAGATAACTATTTTAATATAAACCAGTAAGGAAAGTAGTAAAGTCGGACGGGGCCGACTATATGATACCCTTCACCACTATGGGTATATTAAACAGGACTATTAAAAATTGGATGAAATAAAATATGTGATATTTATCTAGATCTATCCATAAAGTATGTAAATCGACTTCAAACAAATATAAATAGGTCATCCGTTGGGCTATGACCGTACTTCTAGAAAACGCAACTACGTAATTCTATGCTCAATTTTGTAAGTTGTGCAAACTTTGATGTCAATCTGACTAACATGAGGAGTTTGATGCAAGCTCTATCCAAATATTAAGCGATTTCAAACAAAATTGTCACAGGTTAGGTTATACTAATTTCAGAACGTTTTGTTCCTATCAGCCTATTGTATCCTTGGTGCGTCAATTACTTATAATCAATCTATAATAAATCTGGACCGATTTTCATTAAGTTATGCCAAATTTCGAGCAAATCGAAAGATATATAGAGACTTTGGTGAACCAGTACGTTATGCCAAATTTCGTGCAAATAGAAAGATATTTAGCGACTTTGGTGCACCATTTACATGAAATCGGACGAAACTATATATGAAAGCTATATCTAAATCTGGACCGATTTTCTCGAAACTTGGCAGACATCATTCTAGGCTCAAGTCAGTACGTTATGCCAAATTTCGTGCAAATCGAAAGATATATAGCGACTTTGGTGCATCATTTACATGAAATCGGACGAAACTATATATGGGAGCTAAATAGAAATCTGAACCGATTTTCTCGAAACTTGGCAGACATCTTTCTAGGCTCAATTCAGTACATTATGCCAAATTTCGTGCAAATCGAAAGATATATAGCGACTTTGGTGCACCATTTACATGAAATCGGACTATACTATATATGGGAGCTATATCTCAATCTGGACCGATTTTCACGAAACTTGACACACATCATTCTAGACCTAAATGATTAGGCTGTACTAAATTTCGTGCAAATCGAAAGATATATAGGGGCCGTTTACATGAAATCGGTTAAATATATATATGGGAGCTATATCTAAATCTGAACCGATTTTTCCCAATTTCAATAGGGTACGTCCTTGGGCCAAATAAGTTACCTGTGCCAAATTTCATTCAAATCGGATCATAAATGCGACCTGTACTTTGTTTACAATTTAACATCTACAGATGGACAGAGGGACGGACAGACGGTCGGACGGACGGACATGCATAAATCGACTCAGAAAGTGATTCTATGCATATTCTCAAAAGGAACCATGTGTCTATCTCGTTTCCTTTTGCCTGTTACAAACATATGCACAAAGACATAATACCCTGTACCACAGAGTGGTGAAGGGTATAAAAAGGGGGTTATATGGGGACTACCCCAAAAAGGGGGCGAATAGTAAAATTTTTTGGTAGGGAGATTTGTTACCATATAAGACTACAAAATACCAAATTGCAGCAAATTCGATTGAAAAACGCGCTCAAGAACCCAAAAATGCCGAAAATTGGGGGTACCCTTATATGGGGGCTATCCAAAAAAATGGACCTATACTCCTAATTTTTTGTGGAGAGATTTGCTGTGCAATAAGAACTCAAAGTACCAAATTTCAGCGGATTCGGTTGAAAAACGCGCTCAAGAACCCCAAAATACCGAAAATTGGGAAAATTATATAGGGCTACCCGAAAAAATGGACCTATATTTATAATTTTTTGTGGAGAGATTTGCTACGCAATAAGAACTCAAAGTACCAAATTTCAGCGGATTCGGTTGAAAATCGCGCTCAAGAACCCCAAAATACCGAAAATTGGGGGTACCCTTATATGAGGGCTACCCGAAAAAATGGACCTATATTTATAATTTTTTGTGGAGAGATTTGACACCCAATAAGAACTCAAAGTACTACATTACAGCCAATTCGGTGGAAAAATGCGGTCAAAACCCCCCCAAAAAAGTGGACCTAAAGTTATAATTTTTAGTTGAGAAATTTGGTATCCAAAAAGAGCCCATTTTACCAAATTTCAGCTGATCAAGAATATATATACATTATAGGGTCGGAAATTATTATTTCGATGCGTTACAAACGGAAAAACAAAACTAATATACCCTCCATACTATGGTGGAGGGTATAAAAACTCGAATAACGTCTATTTAAATTGCATTATCTGACTGCAACAAAATACCGGTCACCCAGTTAGCCGGTAAACAAATAAACAAGTGAATGATGATTAATTCTTGCAATAAATGACGTAGACCATCATGCTAGCCCTACCAACAACAATAATAACATACCACTAAGCTACATTTTTTAAGTTTAAATATGAAAGGAATGTTACACTTCTAAAATAACACAAAACAAAAGAAAGAAGCCAAAAACAAAAATCGCCGCAAAAGAAATCATTAAAAACTGTTGTTGTCTAAAAGTCCAGTATAAATACCATACGTTTAAGTGGAATATGTTATCAGTTCGGTGGTTTGCATCTAAACAATAACTACATACTTTTTTGGGGAAAACGTAACAATGAAATTCATTACTATTGGTTCCTTTTTGGCTTTGTCCGGATTGGCTGCTGCCGGACATTTGCATGGACATGGTGTCACTAGTTATTCGGTGGAAACTAAACATGAACCTTCCCTACATCATAGCTGGTCACATGGCCATAGTGGTGACAGTCATGGCTTGTCGGCTGGTCACGGTCATGAGAGTCATCATGTTTGGGAGAGTCATCCAGAAAGTCATATTGTATCCAGTGATTCCGGTCATGACGGTCATGATGAACATTATGATGAATATGCTCATCCTAAATATGAATTTAAATATGGTGTCAAGGATCCCAAGACTGGTGATGTAAAGGATCAATGGGAAGAGAGAGATGGTGACAAAGTTAAGGGTAAGTATTCAAAAATAATTGGGAAAATATTTTTTTAAACCCCGGTTTTTATTTTTATAGGAGGGTATACTTTCAAGGAAGCTGATGGCACAACTCGTGTAGTGGAATACCATGCCGATAAGCACAGTGGTTTCAATGCTGTAGTCAAAAATATTGGACATGCTCATCACGAAGAAGTCGAACAACAACATCATGATAGTGGTCACTTAAAACATAGCCATGGCCATGGTTGGTAAATTCTTTATACTTTTCAACTAACCAATAGAGAATAGTTTCCCTGATATTCCTTGCTAAAATGTGATACTCATTAGATAGAAATTTTTGCAATGAACTTTAAATATATTTCTTTAAAATCGGAACAAAATGTGTTTATTATAAAATTTGTAATTTCCTTTATACAGCGGTGTTGCATATTTAATCTATTTGTTTTAAGTAAAGTGTCCTTCCAAGTTTCTAAAATTTTCCACGAATTTTAAGTGCATACAAATAACGATAATTTTGATATGTACTACGTATATGTATATAAAGTATCAAATATAAAAAAATACATTTTTTAAAAAACTCCAGGCACTATACCAATACGCCTAAGTTCATAATTGTTAAGTATTTTGAATAAATACCTTATAGAGGAGGGCATAAAAGCTTAGCTCGACCGAACTTATCGTCACTTTTACTTGTTATACCCTCCACTATGAGGTGGAGTGAATATTCAATTTGTCATTCCGCTTGTAGCACCAGGAAAGTTTCATCGGAGACCCCACAATGAATATATATTTTTGATCTGAATAAAATTCTATGCCAATTTAGCCCTGTCCCTCGGCCTATCTATTGGAACCAAGATAGGAATCGCAATATTGAAGATAGAGCTTTGAAATTTTGCACACACACAATACTTACCCCTGTGGTATTGAAAATGGGATATATCGGTCCGCGTTCTAGTGAACCCCCTTATAACGGTATCCTACAATATTTGGTATGTTGAAACCTTTGGACACATTTTACAACATAAGCTGTAATTTGGTATTCTTGGTTCTCAGTGGGTAAAAAATCGTCATACGAAAAATTAATATTGGTCCACTTTTTGGGTAGTTTACATATAACGGTACCACAAATTTTCGGTATTTTGCGATGTTGAACTCAGTTTGCTATCTAATTCGCTTTTGTTTCGAAGATGAGTTATATGAGTTCACATTTAGGCATACAATGATGCCTCCAGTTTTCCTAAAATCGGACGACAATGGGACATCGGAATCAAAAAATTCCAACGGTGTTAGAAATAGTACATGTCTGGCTCTCGTATGAACTAGGATTATTGACTTTGCTAAAAAATTAATAAAATGGCGGACGTTTGAAAAAAAGTTTTTTGGGAAATCGCCTATTTTTGACCAGAAATCTGGAAAATAAGGAAGATGTTAACCGATTGGAGAAACATATAAAAATTAGGAACCGAATGGATTATAAGCTTTCGAGTTGTCATTCCCTTCGTAAAAACACTGTTTCGAGAGAAACGCACTTCGGCCGTCGCTTGATGCTAACAAAATAAAATGGCTATATCTTCCAAAGTTGTTGAGATTTTCACTTGTAATTTTTTGGAACATTCTTCAATTATGTAAATGTTGCACCAAAGTCCCGAAATTTGGCATAGCGTATTGAATTGAGCATAAAATCATGTGTGTTTAATTCTATCGATTTGCACGAAATTTTTAGTACTGAATTGAGTTTAAAATGATGTCTTTTAAGCTTTATGAATTGGTTCAGATTTAGATCATGCCAATGTTCTTTCGAAAAGGCGGAGTCTGTTAGGAGACATATGTAGAATATACCCAAAGTGGTGAAGGGTATCATATAGTCGGCACAGTCCGACTTTACTACTTTCCTTACTGGTTTTAGTAGGCTTTGAAATTGTTTTGCGTTGTGAGATAGTTAAGCAAACAATTTTCGTTAATGCCAGACTTTGGAATGAAAATTAGTAAGGAAAGTAGTAAAGTCGGGGTTTGGTGTGTCATTTATATTAAAATCAGAATAATATATGAAATATGGGAGCTATATCTGATTCGATTTTAATGAAACATAAAACACGTTATTATAGACTCAATTCAATACATTATCCAAAATTTCGTCCCAATAGGACACACGTAGGGTGTTTGTTGCACTGTTATAAAATCGGACGAAAATATATATGGGAACTATATATAAATCTGAACCGATCTCTCCATACTTTAACATACGTTATACTAGAATCATTTCAATACGATATGCAAATTTTCGTTAATGCCCCATTTACACAAAATCAGACGAATATATATATATATATATGTATTGGAGCTATATCTTTATCTGATCCGATTTCAATGAAACTTAACACACTTCATACATGGCTCAATTCCATACGTTGGGCCAATATTGGTCTCGGCATAAATAAATCGACTTAGAATGTAATTCTAAGCATATTCTCAAAAGGTACAATGTCTCTATCTCGTTTCCTTTTGCCTGTTACAAATATATACACAAATATATATACACAAATATTTATAAATATGCTAATATATAATACCCTGTGTAAAGGTCATGTCTTGTAAATCGGATTTACGTAATTGGTACACGATTTACATGAAATATTAATATACATGAATATGTAGCGAATGTGGGAAATATAAAAATTTCTAAGAATATTATCTTTTTTCCACAGAAAACTGCATATGCCAGAAGGGTTAATCAACCTACACTCCAATGTCGACCATAGTTAAAATTTGACTACCATCTAGTACATTTTTTGTTTATAGTACGTATTTAAAACTTCCTCCATATCTGAACACTACATACCAATTCTGGCCGCAACACAAATCTTGTTCGATATTATATTTGGTACCATTTATGACTTCTTGTAGTATTTATTTCCAAACTAATTCACACAGTACACATGCATATAAATTTTTATAAGTGCCCACCTCAACAATCCAAGCGAAATCATATTTCCCAATTCCAACCAGATTCGTAATTATACCCTACGCGAAATATTGGTTCTAGACCCACCTTTATGTATACCCATCATCATATCTTGACTATGTGAGTCGATCTAGACAAAGGTCGGTCAATATATAACGGGTCAAATGGACCCTGACTTTTGTGTGAAAAATTACAAAGTTGATAGCATATCCAAGAGGAGTGGTTGACCTTTAAATTGATACTAATTATAATATTTACAGGTGCTTACGTACTGAGATATTATTTAGTAACGCTAGAGGGCGGAAACATAGCGCTGATCGCTATAATTTTCGGTGATGATCAGATAAAAATTTTGGGACGAAGAGGACCGAAAACTTAATTTTTTATGTTTTTTCGATTCGATCCACGGTGAAGGGAATCTGGCAAGTAATTAGAAGGTATGTACTCAATATTAGGAATATTCGGAAAATATGTCAGTGTAAGGAAGAGGTGCTGTTGATCTCTAATCGACAAGATCAGTGTAAGTAAGAGGTGCTGTTGATCTCTAATCGGGCAAGAGGGTGCAACTATCACGAAATATTGCCCAGGCTCAGAATAAACGTCGGCAGAAAGTTAGAGTTCCGTGGTAGTTGTGTAGGGTATCGTATGGTAGGCCTCGTCCGACTATACTACTCCGCTCACTGGTTTTTAATATTGAAAATATTGACTTTGAACAGCTGTTTTGATTATTTTCAGAAATAGTTGAATATTAATAACTATGGACGACGACAAGGTCGTCATATCATCTACATTTTTAATATTGATGGAAGAACTAGCTGATAACAATGAAAAACCAGTAAGGAAAGTAGTAAAGTCGACGGGGCCGACTATACGATACCCTTCACCACTTTGAAATACTAATTTCAGTATGTTTTGTGCATATCGGCCACATTTTGAGTTCTTGGTGCATCATATACTTAAAATCGGGAGAAAATATATATAGGAGCTCTATCCAAATCTGAACCGATTTCAAAACTTTCCACACGCTAGGTTATATTAACTTCAGTACGTTGTGCAAAATTATGTGTCAATCGGCCTACCTTTGGGTCTTTGGTGAACTATTTATTTAAAATATGACGAAACTATGTATAGGAGCAATATATAAATCTTTACCATTTTCAAATAAAATTTTACACACGTTATGTTATAGTAACTTCAGTACGAAGTGCACAATTGTGTACCGATTGGACCCACCTTGGTGTAGCACTTATATCCAACTTCTTGGTTATACTAATATCAGTACTTTGTGCAAAATTTGTGTCAATTTTGGGTCTTTAGTGCAAAATTTACATAAAATCGGCAGAAAAAATATATAGGAGCTATATATAAATCTGAACCGATTTTCACGAAACTTAACACACATCATTTTAGACCTATACTCTATACTAAATTTCGTGCAAATCGAAAGATATATAGGGACTTTGGTACACTATTTACCTAAAATCGGACGAAAATATATATGGGAGCTATATCTAAATCTGAACCGATTTTCACGAAATTTAACACACATCTTTCTAGATTTAAGTCAATACACTATGCCAAATTGCGTGCAAATCGAAAGATATATAGGGACTTTGGTGGACTATTTACCTAAAGTCGGACGAAAATATATATGGGAGCTATATAAATCTGAACCGATTTTCACCAAATTTAAGACACATCGTTCTAGACTTAATTCAGTACGCTGTGCCAAATTTCGTGCAAATCGATCATAAATGCGACCTGTACTTTGTTAACAATTTAACATGGACAGACAGACATGTGTGTCTATTTCGTTTCCTTTTGCTTGTTACAAACATATGCAGAAAGACATAGTACCCTGTACCACAGTGTTGTGAAGGGTTAAAAAAATGAAGAGAACAAAAGCAACATTGGGTCCGGCCTTTTCTTTTGGAAGGTGATGGTGCGTATGCTTATTTTAGGGAGCGATTGAAACGGAATGATCCCGAGCTATACAAAAACTTTGCACGAATGTCGCCAGAGAGACCATCGATATGCAATATTATACCTGAAGTCTGCACCCGAATTAATTACATGCAGATGCCAGCTACAGAGGAGGAATGGGAGAGTATCTCCCAAAGTATAAATAAAACTTGAAATTATCCACATTCAATCGTGGCAGTTGTAGCAGAAATTTCTGATCAGCACTTCTCCTTTCATGCCGGTTTCTGTATCCATCAATTTTGTAGTTCCACATTGGTGGGCGTTCTTCAACCATTTCGATGAACAGTCTCAGTTCATTTCCTGTTCACTTTTTTGTTGCTTAAGATTGTGGCGCATGTTATCATTAACGTTATCACTATTAAAAAAATATTTATATAATGCATCACAACTATATTTTTTTATTAAATATGTTATACTTACCAACTCATATTAATTTAGTAATTATAATTTAATTCTTACGTGATTTAATTCCATTGCCACTTGCCGCAACAAAAATGTGTAAATAAAAACATTTGATATATATTGATCAAAAGAATGAACATGATGTCAAAATATATTTCTAGTCATCAATATTGCCAGATGCGATTTTGTTCAATAAATTTTGATGGAATTTTGCTGCTTACACGAGTTTGAAGCATTTTGAAGACAAATTTTGAAGAAATTGTCAATCGTATAAAAGAAACTTAAAAATTTATACTATTTAGTATACATAAGTACGAATTTCCAAAACGTTCTACATACCCCAATCCTACACTCTGATAGTAATTTTAATTCCAAATTTCAGGATTCCTGCTCTATCGGTTCACCTAAATCCAAATAGTATGAGTACACACTTCAAAAACCACCTCGTCTCTACTTCTCAACCTTGTTTCGCATTCCAAATTTGAGAAGTTTTTAACTCTATCCGTTCGCATGTAGCGAAGTTGGAATTTCAAAAAAGAAATCCTTCTGTACATCTATCCTACACTCCATAAATAATCCTCATTCTAAATTTAGCTTCAGCCGTTTCATCTGGACGTTGATGAATCGTTAAGTCACTCAATCAGTTTACTCTTTTATTAATATAATGGGAGCTATATATATTATAATAAATTTTTTTGACCTTGTTCCTTCGCCTTCTGTTCTGTATGTACATAAACATAAATTTTAGCCCTGGTTATTAATGTGCATCTGAAACAACTGAATAAAAAAACATTTTTTATTTGTTATGTAATTGTTTAAATTGTATACGGGGGTATATTAACAATATTTTTACTGGGGTCTTGTTATTGCCTAACACATATTTGGTGAAATGTTTTCTTATTATTATCGAAAAAGTTTTAATGTACTAGCTTCACAGAAGCATAACTGGTAGCATGTCCATGACCTTGGCCTGCATAACTTCCTTCCCAACCGCCATAATAAGATTTATGTAGAACTTCAGGGTGACCAATTTTCTTGACTACAGCATTGAAACCGTTATGTTTATCGGCATGATATTCCACAATACGAGTGGTACCATCGGATTCTTTCAAAGAGTAGCTTCCTACAAAAAAAATAAAATATTGTTAATTTATAAATGGAAATATTATAAATGGAAATAATATTTATAAATTACCTTTAACTTTGTCGCCATCTCTTTCTTCCCATTGATCCTTGATATCACCTGTTTTTAAATCCTTAACGCCATATTTAAATTCATATTTAGGATGAGAATAATAATCATGCTGATCCCAGCCACCGTGTCCTCCCGACCAGCCATGACTTCCTGAAAGTCCATCATCGTAGCCACCATCCGACCAGCCATAACTATCACCACCACCATAACCACCAGACGACAAACCTTGATGGTGGTAATTCAACGAAGGCTCATGTTTTGTTATTATGGCATAACTACTGGCGCCGTGGTTAAAATATCCTGCTGCCGTCAAACTGCAAATGGCCAAAAATGTTATAATGGCTAAGGATTTCATATTTAATTTTAATTCCGATTGCTTTGATAGCAAACAAAGAACTGATGTTATCGGTTCTGCAGTTGCGGGCTATTTATATAATAACGTTGAATTCTTTGTTGGCCGTTCTATTTTATTTCAATAATGTTTTTAATTATTGAATTTAATTTTTTTGGGGTGTAATATGAATTGTTTTGTAGTGTAACAACCTAGCCATTCATTCATAACCACCATTCATAATGGAATATTCTCATGTTAGCTTTTGAAAGGTAACAAAAAAATTACAAGCAAACAATATGAAGAACAACAAGCTAAATTTAAAAGCAACAAAAAATTAATTAACAAAAAATTGGAAAAAGAATCGATATTCAAAATATGGAGCACTATAATTTTCGTATAAATAGCTAAGATGAAGCCATTTAATGCCATCAGTTTCTTAATTACCAATTATCGTTAAACAAAGAATAGTTCTTAACTTCTCGGCAATTCAATATGAAATTCTTGGCACTTGGATCCTTGTTGGCCCTGTCCAGTTTAGCTGCAGCTAGCCATTTGCATCATGGTGCAGCTAGCAGTTATGCCACAATAGTCAAGCATGATGATAGCTATGCCCATGGTTGGTCGGGGTATGGTATTGAAAGTGGCCACGGTTGGTCGGGTCATGGTGACGGTAGTTATAGTCATGGTGGTTGGGATCATCATGATTATCATTCCCACCCTAAATATGAATTTAAATATGGCGTTAAGGACTTAAAAACAGGCGACATTAAGGATCAATGGGAACACAGAGATGGTGATCATGTTAAGGGTAAGCGAAAATTTTAAAATAATAACTATTTTATTAAAGTTTAATTTATTTTTTTAGGTAGTTACACCTTAAAGGAATCCGATGGCACCACACGTGTGGTTGACTATCATGCCGATGGTCACAACGGTTTCAATGCTGTCGTTAAGAAGTTAGGTCATGCCCATCATCCCGAAACTTATCAACATCATGGTGGCTATGAAGGTGGTTTTGGTAATCATGGTTATAGTCATGGACATGGTCACGCTACCAGTTATGCTAAAGTATATTTACATTAAATCAACAAAGTATGGTTTATTGGTCCTAAATGGCTTTGAAAATGTTCCTTATTATGCTCCTTGTTAATTGTGATATCCTACCAATACTGTTATAATACATAGCTCAACAAATACAATATATGCAAATTTTCTCAAATGAATATTTTTTTGGTTTTTATTTCATTTTTCACATCACCCACATGTAAAATCAGGATGTACATACATTAAGTATGAGGAACCAAACCAAAACCAAACTCATAATTCGGTCATCACTATATTTAAAATAGGGGTATGAAAGAAAATGAGATATATCGGTATACATTTGGGTATATAGCAGTACCACCCCATTTTTATAACCTCCACCATAGTATTAGTCTTACTTTTCCGTTTGTAATACATCGAATTAGTCATTTCCGACCCTATAAAGTGTATATATTCATGATCAGCGAAAAATTCTATGACGATCTGTTGTTCCATGTGATCCATGACGATCTGTTGTTTTGTTGTTCTAGCGTCTAAACGAATTGAAATAGATCGTCAAAATATTGCATAGTGTTAAGTCCGCACTATAGGGACTTGGATGGTTGGCATGTATAGTGCAATCGATTCTCTCAATAGGGTCAGTACGTCCAATGAGTACTCGTGAGCAAAAAGGAATAGAAATAAATAAAACATGAGAGTTTTAGTAAAGGGTTTCGACCAATGCCGACTATTTATTTATTGCTAAACAATATTACCTTAATTGTACAACAATATGTACGGTAGCTTACAATAAAGCCCAAGTGATCACCAATATGTTTGTATAGCCAGTCGAAAGGTAAAAACGAGAGTTAATCAAGTAATAAGTGTTGACACAAAGATGCCTAAAGGTGGCGCAAAGGCAAAATGTAAACAAAAGTCCGTTGAAATCTGTCAGCCTCATACTATTACAAGGATGTAATAATGAGGAGTAGACAGATTTCAACGGCTTCGACCTTTCAAATTAAAGGCTAACTACCATTTTAAATAGCAATTCTCGCTTAAACACATAGAGTCGACTTTTGTCTGCAGCCAGGTCAAGTTCGTAGATGGACTATATCGGTCCACGTTTAGGCATAGCCCCCATATAAGGATACTCCACCATTTTTTGATATTTTGGGGTTCGTGAGCGCGTTTTTCAACCGAAGTCTCTGAAATTTGGAACATTTGGGTTATTATTTGTTACCAAATTTCCCCACTTAAAATTATAAAAATCGGTCCACTTTTTCTTGTGGCAACTATATAACGGTGCCCCCAATGTTCAGTATTTGGGGGTTTCGATCGTATTTTTCGACCGAACTCGCTATAATTTAGTACATTGAGTTCTTGTTGGACATCTCTCTACAAAAATATAAATATTGGTAAATATTTTCGGGTTGCCCCCATATAAGAATACCTCTCAATTTTCGATATTGTGTGGCTCTTGAACACGTTTTTCAACCGAAATCTCTCAAATTGGGTACATTGGATTCTTATTAGGTAGAAAATCACTCCACTAAAAATTATAAATATAAGTCAATTTTTTTGGTAGCCTCCAATATAACGATATCCCCAAAATTTCGATATTGTGGGGTTCTTGAGCGCTCTTCCAATCGAATTTGCTGTAATTTGGCATTTTGAGTTCCTATTATAAAGATACCGGCATAATTTTGCTATGGCTTATGATATTCTGTGTTTTTGGTATTTTGACATATTTTGACCTAGCCCGTTTAAGTTTTAATGGTCTTAGGCACATTTTCCGATCAACGGGGTTGGTTTTTCAACTATATTTTGATATGGAACCCTTATAAGGGTTCCGCCTCATTGTAGTTATTTTGTTATTTCTAGCCATTAATTCTATATAATTGTAGACCCAAGATGTTATGTATGTTAACTCGACAGGATGAACCAAAAGTGTTGAAGAGTATCATATAGCCTGCCCCACCGATTTTGAGCTTTCTTCTGGAGCTGATATTTAGTAAGAACAGTATTTCTTCTTCCATTAGATATTGTACTTATTGTATATACTTTGTTTTTTCTTCGATATCAAAACTTTAATTTCATCATTAAAAACAATGAACATTCAATTACCGAACCACGCTAATGCAATTTCACTTTAGCATAACTGGAGTCATGACCGTATCCTTAATGACCATGTCCAGCATAACCACTATGTTGATTGTAGTTTTCAGCATGATGAGCATGACCTAACTTCTTGACAACAGCATTGAAACCATGATGAGCATCGGCATGATAGTCTACAACACGAGTGGTGCCATCGGCTTCCTTTAAGGTGTAGCTACCTATTAAATAAAATTATGGTATAAACACTAGAGACTGATACTTAAAAATAATGAATTTCTTACCTTTGACATGATCACCATCTCTATGTTCCCGTTGATCCTTCATATCACCGGTTTTAGAGTCCTTAACGCCGTAAGCGAATTCATATTGGGGATGTGAGTGGTAATCATGACCATGATCATGACCACCATGACCATAATCACCACTAGCATCTCCATGACCTGATAATGGCCACCATGTAACAACATGTCTGCTGATCATGGGCATAACCAGCCATGTCCTGACCAACCGTGGCCATGACTGTCGCCATGTTCTACCACTGTGGTATAAGTGCTTGCTCCGCCGTGATGCAAATTACCGGCAGCCGCCAAGCCAGACAAAGCCAAAAAGGATCCAATGCTCAAGAATTTCATATTGATATTCAGAAAGATTGAAAAATTCTATTGTTTTATGATTTTCTACAGTTTCGGCACTGATACCGTTTGTTTATTTTATCTTTGTTATTTATACTAAAAATTTTAATAACTACCAAATGTTTTGAATTTTGGCTAACCTTCGCTATGACTTAGTTGTGATTATTACTAATTATACAGGTCATGTCTATGCTTTTTCACCATATTATTTGTAATTCACCTTTCGAATTTGAATATGAGAATTTCCAATTGATAGGCTAAAGGTTAGCCTATCAATTTGTAGCATGCAGAATAAAAATTTTGTTATAAATAGCCAAGATAAAGTATGAAACATACATCAGTTCCTAAACAGAAATAAATTATTTAGCACTAGAACCAACGGAAGTTAATATGAAAGTTTTAAGTATTGGATCCTTTTTGGCTTTGTCCGGTTTAGCAGCAGCCGGAAATTTGCATCATGGTGGAGCTAGCACTTATACCTCAGTGGTCGAACATGGTGACAGTTATGGTCATGGTGGACATGGTTGGTCGGGACATGGCGATGATAGTTATGGTCATGGCGGAGCTGGTTATGGCCATGGTGGTGCTGGTGCAGCGAGCAGTTATGCCACAATGGTCAATCATGGCTATGGTCATGGGCATGGCTCGTCAGAACATGGTGTTGAAAGCGGCCATGGTTTGTCAGGACATGGATATGCAGGTGCTAGTTATGGTCATGGCGGTGCCGGTTATGGCCATGGTGGTGCTGGTGGAGCTAGCAGCTATGCCTCCGTTGTCAAACATGAAGATAGTCATGGCCATGGTGTTGAAAGCGGTCATGGTTGGTCTGGACATGGAGATGCTAGTTATAGTCATGGCGGAGCTGGTTATGGCCATGGTGGTGCTGGTGGAGCTAGCAGCTATGCCTCCGTTGTCAAACATGAAGATAGTCATGGCCATGGTGTTGAAAGCGGTCATGGTTGGTCCGGACATGGATATGCATCTTATGGTCACGGCGGTTCCGGTTATAGCCACGGTGGTGCTGGTTCAGATCATGGTCATGATTATCATTCATATCCCAAATATGAATTTGCATATGGTGTTAAGGACTCAAAAACTGGTGATATGAAAGATCAATGGGAACATAGAGATGGTGATCATGTCAAGGGTAAGAAACGATTTATTATTTTGTATCTTATTGCAGAGTTTACACCATTTTTGTATTTAACAGGTAGCTACACCTTGAAGGAAGCCGATGGCACCACTCGTGTTGTTGATTACCATGCCGATGGTCATCACGGTTTCAATGCTGTCGTCAAGAAATTGGGTCATGCCCAACATTCTGAATCTTATCATCATGGTGGACACTTGGGTCATGGTGATGGTTACAGTCACTGATATGGCCATGGTCATGCTACTAGTTATGCCAAAGTCAAAATGCATTAAATGATTGACAGATATTCCGTACTGTAATATTTATAAGAAAAGTAGTTATTGAATGTTATAAAGAAATATAAATTTCTAATCAAAATACTTGTTTTCGTTATAAATTTAAGCAAAAAATTATACATTTTTGGTAAACATATGTCACTTTCATGTTTACTTATTTTCAGTTCCGAATTTGTAGTAAGTCATGAAACACTAAAAAAAATCAATATGAAATTTTTGAAGATTGGGTCCTTTTTACCTTTGTCTAGCTTGGGGGTTGCTGAAAATATGAACAACATAGTGGTTATGCGGGACGTGGTGATGGAGTATAAGGTCAACCCTCCAGTTATGCTAAAGTTAAATTGCATTATAGCGGGTGGTAATAAAATGTTTATAAAATTTCGACACATCTTCTGACATCGAATGTTTCCATTTGCTATTGGTTTTAATGATGAAATGTTACGCCAACGCTTTGATACGGAAAAAACACAATAAATTTGATAAATAAAAAATCCAAAGAAATAAGAAAAAATGTTCTTAATAAATAAGAAGTAATATGCTATAAGGCGGAACTTTTATATGGGTTCTATGCCAAACCATGACGAAATGGAATAACCCAGTTAGTTGGTAAATGAGCATTTTCCTGTCACTAAAATTCCGGGATGGCATATTCCATAGCAAGATTATGTCGGGACCTTTATATGAGGGCTATATAAAAACATGGATCTACATTGAACAATTTCGAAATAGGTATTATATAACATCCAAGAAAACGGAATGTCAAATTAAAGCCTCTTCAATTTGAAAATGGGATTAACACGAAAAAGATTGTGGAACTATTAAATCCCCCAACTCTACACCGTTATATCCCATTTTCTTTCATACCCCTATGTTAAATATTGTTATGTTGAATTTTGGCTAATTTACAAAGTAAGTAAATAACTTATCAACCGCCAAGTTTAATTAAAACAAGTAAAAAAGCGTTAAGTTCGGCCGGGCCGAACTTTGGATACCCTCCCCCATAGATATACTGACAGGTACTAGAAATGAAAATAATGGGAACATACCAAAAAGTGGACCTATACCGACATTTCTATGTAAACTATAATAAAAATTTCAGAAATTTTTAATGGCCTTATGGCTAATGAGGGTGTATAAAATTTACACCGTAAAAATGTGCCTCATCGAAATATTGGTTCTAGACCCCATGTTTCTTTGGACCAAATCCGTTTCAGAAAATTTACATTTCATCCAAACTTTGCCAATCTTATTATTTCTTCCAAACTTAGTTCAAATTCGAAGATAGGGAATATCGGTCCACTCCTTATGGTACCTCCCACACAGGGGTTAGGTTTAAATACGGGTTATAGTTCATTATCGAACCTTACGTTCTAGTTTTTTATCTCGATATCCCCCACAGGTGATATAGTTACAACAGAGTCTTAGAACCAAACCCAAAACGCGGAACAAATTTCATAACTATTTTAATATAAAAAAGGGGTTATATAGGGACTACCCCAAAAAGGGGGTGCACATTAAATTTTTTTTTTTGAAGAGAAATTTGTTACCATATTCGACTACAAAATACCAAATTTCAGCGAATTCGGTTGAAAAACGTGCTCAAGAACCTCAAAATAGCGAAAATTGGGGGGCCCTTAATATGGGGGCTACCAGAAAAATTGGACCTATATTTATAATTTTTGGTGGAGATATTTGGCACCCAATAGGAACCAAATGTACCAAATTTCAGCGAAATCGGTTGAAAAACGCGCTCAAGAACCCCAAAATACCGACATTTGGGGGGTACCCTTTTATGGGGGCTATCCGAAAAAATGGACCTATATTCATAATTTTTTGTGGAGAGATTTGGTACACATTAAGAACTCAAAATACTAAATTACAGCTAATTCGGCGGAAAAATACGTTCAAAACCCCCAAAATACTGAAAATTAGGAGGTACCGTTATATGGGGGCTACCAGAAAAAGTGGACCTATATTTATAATTTTTTGTGGAGAAATTGAGTACCCAATAAGAATATGGGAGCTATGCCTAAACGTAGACCGATAAAGCCCATCTTCGAACTTGATCTGCCTGCAGACAAAAGACGACTCTATGCAAAATTTTGGCCATCTATCTCAATTCGTTTAGACGCTAGAGTGATTACAACAGACAGGCAGACAGACAGACATGCTTAGATCGTCATAGAATTTTACGCTGATCAAGAACCCCAAAATACCGAAAATATGGGGGGTACCCTTATATGGGAGCTATGCCTTAACGTGGACCGATAAAGCCCATCTTGACCTGTAGACAAAAGACGACTCTATGCAAAATTTTGGCCATCTATCACAATTCGTTTAGACACTAGAGTGATTACAACAGACAGACAGACAGACGGACAAACGGACATGCTTAGATCGTCATAGAATTTTACGCTGATCAAGAATATATATACTTTATAGGGTCAGAAATGATTATTTCGATGCGTTACAAACGGAAAAACAAAACTAATATACCCTTCATACTATGGTGGAGGGTATACAAAAATATGTATTCTTAACATCTCAATAAGAACACACAACAAAGGATTGAATTTCTCCAATTGTTGGCTTGAAGTATTCCAACCTCCTTTTTATACCCTTCACCACACTGTGGTACAAGGTATTATGTCTTTGTGCATATGTTTGTAACAGGCAAAAGGAAACGATTTAAGGCAAATGGTGCACCAAAGTTCCTATATATCATTCGATTTGCACGAAATTTAGCAATAAAGTACTGAATTATGTCCAGAATGATTTGTGCCAAGTTTCGAGAAAATCGGTTCAGATTTAGATATAGATAAGGTAAATGGTGCACCAAAGTCCATATATATCATTCCATTTGCTTGAAATTTAGCATAGAGTACTGAATTAGGTGCAGAATAGTGTGTGCCACGTTTCGAGAAAATCGGTTCAGATTTAGATATAGCTCCCATATATATTTTCGCCCCATATATAGCTTCCATATAAAATTTCGACCTATTCATGTTACTACTTTCCTTACTGGTTCCTTCTCGGCTACACCCTGTAACACTTTCAAGGTTCTTCTTTGATTTGTGAGATTTTCCTGCTGTTTGGTAGCCAACTCGATCTCTAGGAATACTATTTTACAGGAATGTTAGTCATTTTCTCATAATAGGTTGTATTATTTGTTGTTTTAAATTTGTAACAAACAAATCACACGTATGTCTCACAACTAATGTTTTATCATTTTGTCACGATTCAATCTGTAGGAATTTGAACGTAATGCATTCCGGTGGGGTGCTATTATTGTTAAAGGGACCCCACCCCCTCCACCACTGTTTCAAATTTTGACAGTTAAACTTATACTTCTTTAAGAAGTTATACGTTCACATTAAATCCTTTAAAAATTATACTTTCAAATTAAATAAACATGAAAAATCTGGTTCTCAAATCGAAAATATGGGAACCCCTTAATAAGGCTGGTTCAACTCAGAAACTTTGCTAATATGCTAATCAGTATAATAACGGGATAATGAAAATCTTTAATTAAAATTGTGTCATTTAATATATTTATTTACATGTGGTACAACATTTTAGTTGAGTATCGAGCATAAAAAATATTAACTATGATACGAAATCATTCATCAGAAAGAAAACGCTGTCAAAAAAAATTATCAGGAAATCAATGTACCTTGACCTTAGCATAAATGGTGGCATGTCCATAACCATGACCAGCATAATTACCATGATGATGATAAGTCTCTGGATGATGGGCATGACCCAATTTCTTAACTATAGCATTGAAACCATGGTGGCCATCGGCATGATAGTCAACAACACGGGTGGTGCCATCGGCCTCCTTTAAGGTGTAGCTGCCTAGTAAAGAAAAACAATGTTACACACATAAAAACATGCTTCTTATTTATAATAATTTTCTTACCCTTAACATGATCACCATCTCTGTGTTCCCATTGATCCTTCATATCACCAGTTTTTGAGTCCTTAACTCCATATGAAAATTCATATTGGGGATATGAGTGATAATCATGGCCATAATCATGACCAGCACCACCGTGGCTATAACCGGAACCGCCGTGACCATAAGATGCATATCCATGTCCGGACCAACCATGACCGCTTTCAACACCATGGCCATGACTATCATCATGTTTGACAACGGAGGCATAGCTGCTAGCTCCACCAGCACCACCATGGCCATAACCAGCTCCGCCATGACTATAACTAGCATCTCCATGTCCAGACCAACCATGACCAGCTCCGCCATGACTATAACTAGCATCTCCATGTCCAGACCAACCATGACCGCTTTCAACACCATGGCCATGACTATCGTCATGTTTGACAACGGAGGCATAACTACTGGCTCCACCAGCACCACCGTGGCCATAACCGGCACCACCATGACCATAACTAGCATCTCCATGTCCTGACCAACCATGTCCTGATCCACCATGACCATAACTACCGCCATGTTGGACAACTGTAGTATAACTGCTGGCTCCGCCATGGTGCAAATTTCCGGCGGCTGCTAAACCGGACAAAGCCAACAAGAATCCAATGCTTAAGAATTTCATAATGATTTCCAGAAATCAAAAAGAAGTTCTAGTGTTTAATTATTTACTACAGTTTCGGAACTGATACCGTTTGCTTATTTTATCTTAGTTATTTATACCAAAAAGTTTTACTTACTAAATTTTAGCTAACCTTCATTATGATTCATTTTTAGTTATTAGTAATTATACAGGTCATGTTTATGTGTTTACACCTCATTCTTTGTAATTCACCTTTCAAATTTTAATATGAGAATATTTAACAATAAAGGTTGGCTAAACAATTTGTAAGATATAGAACAACAATTTTACTATAAATAGTCGAGATAATGCAAGTAAAAGACATCAGTTCCTAAATTTAAGTAAACCATTAAACAGTAGATCTAGATAGATAGATATTCTTGTGTGAAAATCAATATGAAATTCTTGAGCATTGGATCCTTTTTGGCTTTGTCCGGCTTAGCTGCTGCCGGCAATTTGCATCATGGTGGAGCCAGCAGTTATACCACCGTCGTCAAACATGGCGATAGTTATGATCATGGTGGTCATGGACATGGAGATGCTAGTTATGGTCATGGTGGTGCTGTTTATGACCATAACGTTGCTTATTACGGTCACGGTGATGCTGGATATGATCATAGTCATGATTATCATTCATATCCTCAATATGAATTTGCTTATGGTGTTAAGGACTCAAAAACTGGTGATATGAAAGACCAATGGGAACACAGAGATGGTGATCATGTCAAGGGTGAGCAACAAAATATACATTAGTAACAAATTTTTAAATCATATAACTTTTTTCTTTTTCATAGGCAGCTACACCCTAAAGGAAGCTGATGGCACCACTCGTGTTGTTGATTATCATGCCGATGGTCATCATGGTTTCAATGCCGTGGTCAAGAAATTGGGTCATGCTCAACATCCTGAAACTTATCATCATCATGGTGGTTACTCTGGTCATGGTTATGGTCACGGATATGGTCATGGTCATGCTACTAGTTATGCCAAAGTAAAGTTACATTAGAGTTGAATTGCAAATGGATTATTGACGACATTATGTGTTTACTATGAATGATTTGAATGCACCTTCATGCCTACCATCAAATTGTGATACCTCATTATTAAAAATATATAGAAAAATAAAAAAAATATTTTATATAATAATAATATTTCATTTTCAAAAATTAACAACGCCACGAAATACTGGTCTTAGAACCATCTTTTCCCGATTATCTGAATTGTCTATCATAACTTGTAATCACAGACTATTGACGATGATCGGCCAACATTTAACGGGTCTAATGGAACTTGACTTTTGTGTGAAAAATGAGAAAATTTAATTTAAGGGAACCAGCCCTCCATTCTCGATTTTAAATTTTCAACATTTTTAATGGGCTGGTAAATCAATACCAATACTTGTTAAGGTTTGTAACTTTGCACATATATATTTGGAGATTTAAAAGGGAAGAAAAATACTTTACAAATTTCTTTTATTGTTTTGTTGTTGTTTTTTGTGATTAACACTAGAAAGACTGGAGTTTTGTATATACCTATATTGCCTAAAATCGGTCAAAATGACTTCATTCTGAAAGAATTTTTATTGTGCAAAGAAAATTTTTTTAAACTTATTTTTTAATATTTTATACATTATTTACAATCATACAAAACTTTGTTATTATTTATTTTCGATGGGAGGGCTCTGGAGTTTCCCTTTTTGAAAAATAAGAGCGCGGGCAAAATGTTTGAAAAAGAGTAGGTGTTTATTCTAAGAGTGAAATCGACTGGAAATATAAAATTTATTTTTCCCGATTTGTGTGTTCATTTGTGTTTCTAGAGTAGCAAACGGGTTTCGGTGTTGTTCGACTGATCTGGTCATATAAGAAATTTACTTTATACAATAATCTATATATATATATAAATGAATTGCTGAAAATTCGGTTAAAGTCTTCACAATTCCGAAAATGGAGTGTGCCTGTAAATAGTATATTATAGCTACTACAATGGGAATGGATATATACTAATTTTTGGAAGGAAGGTTTGACACCACATGAGAAAATACCAAACAATGGGGGATACCATTATATGGGGCTACACGGAAAATTTTACCAACATTGCTAATTTTTGGTAAAGAGGTTTTCATCAGATCATCCAAAATAAAACATTACAGTCACTATGGTTGAAACACTGGAACAAACTCCCCAAAATGCCGAATATATCTCAAAGAGTGGACCAATATAGATAATTTTAGTGCGATTCATTCTACCAAATAAGAACGAACAGCCGATAAGATTTAGATAGAGGATATTTGGAAACTTGAGCGAATATAAAATTACACCCAATTACCGAATACTCAGGGGTAAAGTTATGTACCGAATACTTCGGTCAATATTGATATTATTAATTAGGGAGATTTTCTGCTCAATAAGTATTCCTAATATTAAATTAGAAGCAATTCTGTTGAACATTTTCAGTATCAAATATCTTATAAGTAGTAGAAATGTATGTTGGTGGGTATAACAACAAACCTAAAATTCCGAAAATTAAACATAAACAATATTGCTAGGCAAGGCAACGTTTGCCGGGCCCGCTAGTGCAATAATAAAAGTAGATTGATTATTTAATATCTAACAAGAGGTCAAAATGGCCGATTTTAGGCAATGTAGGTATAGCACATGTCAATACGGGGAATGCAAGAGGGTGGGGAGCAGCTACTATGATTAATAAATGTGGTACAAATTTCTATGTGGTACAAAAAGTCACCAAATTTTAAAAAGCTGTGCCATAATATGCACAATTGATTTTGTACTCGAAATTGAAAAACGGTCAAAATGACCGCCTTCGGCAATCTAGTGTTAAAGAAAAATTCTTATTTTTTATGGCGAGCCTGATAACTCCTCACTGGAACATTGGAATCCGAAAATTTCAAAGGTGTTAGAAAGAGTACAGCTCTCGTATGAACTACGATTATTGACTTCTAAACGTTCCAAAATTTTAAATCGATTGGGTTATTAGTTTTGAGTTTTGTATTTTTCAAAGACATTTCCCTATCCTTTTTTCGACTAAGCGCATTAAAGTGACACGAAACTTAATTTTACATATATTATGTCAAAGAATAAAGTATTCTACGTGAAATTCCACTGCAAGTTCCAAAACAAACTATATATTTATATTCAATAGTTTTTAAGAAATGTACAGTATAAAATTAAATGAAGTCAGTAACAAAATTGTTGTTATTATAAATAATTTTATATTATAAATTTCTTAAAAACTATTTAATATAAAGGCCCCTTCAATGAGTCGGTTGAGGGTTAAAGTTGTATACCAAAATATTCCTCGATATTTTATCAGTAATATTGCCGAAGATGCTATATACACAAAATACATGGATTTCAAGAAATCATAATTCGAAAATTATCAAAATTCTTGAAAAGGGGGAATATTGTCCCGCCTTTTTAGGTTGCTCCCGACGTAAACTTCCGAAACGCCGAAACACGTATCTCCTTTTTTAGCCCTTCTTTCATAATCTGTTGGAGATTCCCGGTAATTATAAAAAAATGAGATTTGTCGCAGATTTGTTATTATAAATAATTTTATATTATAAATTTCTTAAAAACTATTTAATATAAAGGCCCCTTCAATGAGTCGGTTGAGGGTTAAAGTTGTATACCAAAATATTCCTCGATATTTTATCAGTAATATTGCCGAAGATGCTATATACACAAAATACATGTATTTCAAGAAATCATAATTCGAAAATTATCAAAATTCTTGAAAAGGGGGAATATTGTCCCGCCTTTTTAGGTTGCTCCCGACGTAAACTTCCGAAACGCCGAAACACGTATCTCCTTTTTTAGCCCTTCTTTCATAATCTGTTGGAGATTCCCGGTAATTATAAAAAAATGAGATTTGCCGCACAGTGTAATTTTTAGAACGTATATGTGTTATTCAATGAGAAGCTAAAATACCAAATTAAAGTCAAATACCAAATTAAAATGGAAAAACGTGTCCAAACCCCCCAGAATACCGAATACTGGGATACCGTAATTATTATTAATATTTTTTGGTACGGAGATATGCTGTACAATGAGAACCCAAGAAGCCAATTCAGTTGGAAAACCTGAAACTAGAGTCAATATTAATAATTTTTGCTACGGAGATTTGCTGTAATGTATCGGACAATTTTTGGCTGGTACAAATGTCACACCTAAAACTCTAAGTCTGCTCAAATAAGACTTTCAAGATTTAGAATAGATTTAAAATTAGATTTTAGAATATGCGTTATAACAAATTCTAAACAGTAACTCCATAGTGACTGCATCAGACTTTGTATTCTGCGTAATTTAATTTATATGAATCGATTGAGAATTTCATTGAAGTTAATTAACGAATCAAATGAATGAAGCGGATAAAATTTTAGCATAACATGAATATAAATGTGACATGGCAACAATGATTTTGAAAGTATGTTGGCATACTTAAATCGAATCAAAAAGTGATTCTTCATACTAAATATTTTAGTATAACTCCTATATCGGAGTACATACATAAATATAATTAATATTTTAATTATATTTCTCTAATTTTTCACACAAAAGTCTATTTCTATTAGAGTTTGATTACAAGTTATGGTAGACACAAATGGTAGATCAATTCAGCTAGTCGGGAAATGATGATCGGTATATTAAAAGTTGGATCTTTATCCCATATATCGTGGTGTTACAAATTTTTGGACCAGTCAAACATATTATACCCTCACAAAATAGTGATACATTGTATATAAACCTTAAATTGAAAATGAAACAATACCGTATCATATTAAAATTGCATTTTTTTATTTTTATATATACTATTTAATAATGAGGTATCACAATTTGATGGGGGCAAGAAAGTGCATTCGTATCATTCATAGAAAACACACAATGTCATCAAAAATCCATTTTCCATTCAATTCTAATGTAACTTGACTTTGGCATAACTAGTAGCATGACCATGACCATATCCGTGACCATAATCATGACCAGAGTAAGCACCATGATGATGATAAGTTTCAGGATGGTGGACATGACCCAATTTCTTGACCACGGCATTGAAACCATGATGACCATCGGCATGATAATCAACAACACGAGTGGTGCCATCGGCTTCCTTTAGGGTGTAACTGCCTATAAAAAATAATAAAGTTCTATGAATGAAATATATATTACTAATACATATTTTGTTGCTTACCCTTGACATGATCACCATCTCTGTGTTCCCATTGATCTTTCATATCACCAGTTTTTGAGTCCTTAACTCCGTATGCGAATTCATACTGAGGATATGAATGATAATCATGACTATGGTCATAACCAGCATCACCGTGACCATAATAAGCAACACCATGACCATAATCAGCACCACCATGACCATAACCAGCATTTCCATGTGCAGACCAACCATGTCCATGACCACCATGACCATAACTATCGCCATGTTTGACGACGGTGGTATAACTGCTGGCTCCACCATGATGCAAATTGCCGGCAGCAGCTAAGCCGGACAAAGCCAAAAAGGATCCAATGCTCAAGAATTTCATAGTTCTAGCATTTAATGATTTGCTTCAATTTAGGAACTGATGTCTTTTACGTGCATAATCACGACTATTTATAGTAAAATTGTTCTTCTACATCTTACAAATTCTTTAGCCAACCTTTATTGTTAAATATGCTCATATTAAAATTTGAAAGGTGTATTACAAAGAATTGGGTGAAAACGCATAAACTTGACCTTTTTAATTAGTAATAACAAAAATGAATCATAATGAAGCTTGGCTCAAATTGTAAACATTTAATAGTTCTTAACATTTTTGGTATAAATAACTAAGATAAAATAAGCAAACGGTATCAGTTCCGAATCTGTAGCAAATCATTAAACACTCGAACTTCTTTTCATTACTGGAAATCATTATGAAATTCTTAAGCATTGGATCCTTGTTGGCTTTGTCCGGTTTAGCAGCCGCCGGAAATTTGCACCATGGCGGAGCCAGCAGTTATAGCACAGTGGTCGAACATGGCCATAGTTATGGGCATGGCGGCTCAGGACATGGTATTGAAAGCGGTCATGGTTGGTCTGGACATGGAATTGCTAGTTATGGCCATGGTGGTGCTGGTGAAGCCAGCAGCTATGCCTCCGTTGTCAAACATGACGATAGTCATGGTCATGGTGTTGAAAGCGGTCATGGTTGGTCCGGACATGGATACGCTTCTTATGGTCACGGCGGTTCCGGTTATAGCCACGGTGGTGCTGATCATGATTATGGCCATGATTATCACTCATATCCCCAATATGAATTTTCATATGGAGTTAAGGACTCAAATACTGGTGATATGAAAGATCAATGGGAACATAGAGATGGTGATCATGTTAAGGGTAAGAAAATTATTATAAAGATTATTATAAAGAAACATATTTTTATTGTGTGTAACATTAATTTTCTTTACTAGGCAGCTACACCGTGAAGGAAGCTGATGGCACCACCCGTGTTGTTGACTACCATGCCGATGGCCACCATGGTTTCCATGCTGTTGTCAAGAAGTTAGGTCATGCCCATCATCCAGAGACTTACCATCATCATGGTGATTATGCTGGTCATGGTTATGGACATGCCACCAGTTATGCTAAAGTAAAGGTACATTGATTTGCTGAAATTTGAAACTTGATACTCAACTGAAATGTAATTACTCATCGAAATAAATGTCGAATTTTAAATTGAGGTTTTTTTATTATTTATCGACTTATCTCTGGATTATTATTGGACAAGAACTGGGTGTCCGTTCGATGTTCGGTAACAATTTTGGTGGGATCATTAGCAAAATTTTCGTACCGCGGGCTATCGTCAGGCACTGAAAACATTTAGGATTGAATGTCATACTTCTTCTGTGATATTAAGCCCTCATTATTTTCAGCTTTTTGTGAAAAGGAGTAAGAGAAGGACAAAAGTCCACCATATGATAAAAACTTTGTATATATATATATATATATGTTATATAAATCTGAACAGTATATTTTCTCTATACAGACTAATTGGTCTTTATTCAGACCTGTGGTCTCTCAGCAGACCTGTGGTATCTATGCACTTCCAGTGGGTCTGTTTATCTTTTATTTGTCTTTATAAAGGCATACAGACCAATTGACTATATTAATACTTGTATTTTATATACAGACATATTGGTATTTAGACACACTCATTGTTTCTTTACAGACCTCTGGTCTCCCTGTAGACCTGTGGTCACTAAACACTTTCAATCGGCCTGTGCACATACCATTACATAAAGTTATATACACCTGTGGTATCAGTACAGCTTATTGGTCTTTATAAATGGAATTATATGGTAAATGTCTTTATAAATCCAACTGAAAATTCATCGGCTATAATGAAAAGGCGATTTAGAAAAAAACGCCAAATAATTGGAGTAAAAATTAATTATATATTAAATGCTATCTTTTCATTCAATGCTAAATTAAGTTTATTAATGTTGTACGAACCTTTTATTGTCAAAAATAAAAAACATGTATTTTTAAGTATCTCAATTCTCTTTATTTTCATTAAAAGAATTTTGTAAAAAACGATTTTACACAATTTTAAACACAATAAAGTTATATTTCAAATTAATGTCCTGAAGTTCAATTTGGACCATTTTTGTGGGAGTTAGCGATTTTTGAAACTGAAATTTTAGTATTTTAATATAGAGTTCGAGACTTTAGGGTAGTATAGGGAAGCTAGGGGATTTCAACGAAACTAAACCCACATCATTCTAGACTTAATTCGCCAAGCTGAGTCTAGATTCTATTAGATATGTTGTTGAATTTTTGCAAAAAAAAAATCAGTCTATAAATGTGGGAATTCGTGATCAATATATAGGTTAGATCGGATAATGTTTTGTCAATGCTCTTATATAACAATACCCCCCGATGTTCGGTATTTTGAGGATTTTTACACGTTTGTGAACGTGTTTGTAAGCAATTTTTTACATGTTCGTAACCAATTCGTGTTTGTAACAAATTACCCCTACTACAAATAATTTATATTGGCCTAGTTTTAAATGAATGAGTGTCAAACACTTGTATGAAATCGAGCAAAATATGTATGAAAGCTATGTATAAATGGACGTATTTGAACACCATTTGGTATGTTGCAGCACAGTGCGCTATCCAAAATTTATTTCGAAACAAAATCCAATATACGTTATTCTAGGTCCCCTTTGTTACCTTGTGCACTAATTCATCCAAATCGGACAACCTTTAGTTATTTAAATGAAATCGGATAATAAAATTCAGATCTGAACCAATTTCAAACTAAAAAAAACATTCTAGACTTAATTCCGTACCTGCTGCTAATTTTCGTGAATATAGAACAAACATAGCCTCCTCAGTGTTCCATTTGCATAAAATAGGACGGAACTATATATGTGATTCCGATTCCAACTAAACTTCGCGCACAACAATCAGGACCTAATTCACTATTCGGTGTAAAATGTTGTCTCAATCGGACAGGTATTGACATTATAGTGCTCAAGTTAAAAAAAAATCGGACAAAACTATATATGGGAGTTATATATAAATCTAAACCGATTTCAGAAAAAAAACTTCGCACACACAAATCAGAACCTAATTCAGTACTCTGTACAAAATCGGAAAAATATTGGGTGTTTGGTGCACCATTTACATAAAATCGGACGAAACTGTATATGGGAGCTATATCTATATCTGAACAGATTCCAACATATCTTCGCATACTTCAAACAGGACCTAATTCAGCACTCTATGCACAATATTGTGGTAATCGGACCATAATTGAGAATTTGGTGCGCCATTTACACAAAATCGGACGAAACTATATATGGTAGCTACATCTAAATCTGAACCGATTAGAGTTTGATGCACCATTTATATAAAATCGGAAGAAACTATATATGGGAGCTATATCTAAATCTGAACCGATTTTATCTAAATAAAGCACCAAACTACCAACGTCTGTCCGATTAAGATAACATTGAAATCGGTTCAGATTTAGATATAACTCTCATATATATTTTCGTCCGATATTATGCATATGGTGCACAGAAGAGTTTTTCCACCTAACATACAATATAGCATAGCGTATTGGATTGAAATCCCTTTATATGGTTCATATATAGCTTCCTTATATGTTTTCATCCGATTTCATCTAAATGGTGTATCAAATAACTAAAATTTCTCCGATTGCGACGAATTTGTGCATAACGCACCAAATCGAACCTAGAATAACGTGTATTGGATTTTGTAAGACGTATGAAGACGTAGATGTAACCGCTCTATAATTTCGTCTTAATTCATGCAAATTGTGCACCGAATAGTAAGCGTTTCTCCGATGGAGATAAATTTTGGACAGCATACATACCAAATGGTTCCTCAAATACGTCAAGATTTACATATAGCTCCCATACATAATTTTGCTTGATTTCATAAAAATGGTACACCAAAGAACCCACCTCTGCCCAATTGACCCGCAATTTTTCATAGATTTTAGAAATTTAGTTTTAAATTAATTCAAACATCTATGTAGTTCACACATTCAATTTCGTCCGATTTCATTCCAATGGCCCTCTAAACATGCTGTATCGGTTCTATCTGTAGTATATTGTAAATATGAGCATCTATTGTATGTACCCAAATGATGAAGTGCCCCGTCCGACTTTTGAACTTTTCTTATTGGTTTTTTAATTTTTTCGTCGGTAAAAACCTCCCAAGCGCTCATCGTCTATGGAGCTCATGACTACCACTGTTTGAGGGTTCATTTTTCTGGGACATTATCCAGAAACCCGACATTTAGCCAGTTTTTGTTTGGACAGTATTTCCGTCTTTTCAAGGTTAGGGCTAACTTATGAATTTAATACTAATAGAAACATATATAGTTTAGGTCGGAGAATCAAGTAATTAATTTGTTATTATCTATACTAAGTAATTGTTATTTGTTGCCATATTTCAATTTATTTATTGTTTGAAACATTTTAAGTGCATTTCTACTTAATATGTGGAATACATTTATTCCTTCATGCTCATAAGTATTTAAAATTGAAAGGTAAATTACAAAGAGAACAAAAAAATATGACGTATTTAATTAGTAATAACACAATAGAATCAAAACAAAGGTTATTTTTAGAAAATATGCAGTTCAGTTCAAATCATTTTCGTATAAATAGCCAAGACAGAACCAGCAATTACATCAGTTCCCGAATTTCAAATAATCATTTCACATAGAATTACTTAGGTTTTCTTAAATCAGTATGAAATTCTTAATCCTTGGAGCGGTTTTGGCATTGTCCAGCTTGGCTTCGGCTGGTAGTTTATATGGACATGGTGCAGCCAACAGCTATGCCACAGTAATCAAACATGATGATACTTATGGTCATGGCAGCCATGGCTGGTCGGGACATGGAGTCGCTGGTTATGGCCACGATGGAGCTGTTTATGGCCATGGTGGTGCCGGTTACGGTCATGCTGGATATGGTTATGATCATGGCGCAGATTATCACTCCTATCCAAAATATACATTTGAATATGGCGTTCATGATGAGCACACAGGTGACATCAAGGATCAATGGGAACATAGAGATGGTGATCACGTCAAAGGTAAACAAATAATTAAAAAAAAATCTTTCGTTTTATTTCGAACACCTCAATTTATTTTATAGGTAGATACACGGTAAAGGAAGCTGATGGTACTACCCGCGTAGTTGATTACCATGCCGATGGCCATAATGGTTTCAATGCTGTGGTCACGAAATTGGGTCATGCCTCTCATCCCGAAAGTTATCATCATCATGGTGGCTGGGAAGGTGGTCACGGATATGGTCATGGATACGGTTATGGCCATGGCTATGGTCATGCCACTAGTTATGCTAAAGTCAATTTGCATTAAATTGATAAAGAAAATGGATTTCTGAATTTATTTGCGGCACCTGACTATGAATGATAATATTTTATGATTTTTTACAATATCATATTCCATAAAATTTAATTATTACCAAATACATGTATCTAACTGCAATTACCAAAAACATATGTTTTAATAGGCCTTAATATACCAATCGTCATATTTCGAACATCCAAAAATTTGTACACTGAAGAACATACGGAACTATTCCTCAAAATGAACGATCGTTACTAGGCCCGCTTCATTAGTTCAGTTTTGCTCTCGCTCATCTAGTTCCTTCAAATCCAATCGTTCATATTCATCTTCCGGTTCATTGGACGAACTATCTAAATTGTACCAATAAACGATTGAACTAGAAGGAATCATGGAACTGTCGTGGAGCATAAAGAAAAAGATTTAGATTTTCGAGCTTCTAAGGTTCTTAGCGGCCATAAGAGATGCATTGGTGGAGATATAAACTTCTACTTAAATTCGTCACATTTTTGTTTCGTCCCCACTCAACTACTTCAACGAAAGCCGTTCAATATGTGGGTCGTAATCAAACCCACCCTTATACCATTCATACATTATTTGGTGGCTTATGTCACTCGTAAACCGTTTGTTGCACCAATTCAAATGGGTTTCAGCTGTTGTATGTTACCACCGTTTGTTGGCAGCACCATCATCGTGTACTGCAATGTTGTAATCGTGGCAAGAGAAATGCAAACGCATAGCCAGCCACAAAACAAGAGAAATAAGTGAAATTTTGGTGGGGCAGAGGCAACGCTACAGCTACATCAGCACCAAACTCCAAACCGAATATGTGCGAGTTTTTACACTAATCGTGTTTTTGTTAACTATAAATAAACGAGTGCAACCACAAATTAGTATCAGTTTTCGAAGTAAATTCAATTGCAACACAGAGAACAGCCCTTTTTCCCAGGCCCAGTCGTGAAAGTGAAAAAGTCAACCAAACCGCCAACAACATGAAATTTCTAACATTTAGTTTTGTTTCATTGGCTGCAATTTGTGGCTTGGCCAGCATTGCATTAGCTGGACCAGTCCAACAACAGCAATACCATCATCATCTGCAACAACGACATAGCTATCAGGGCAAACTTTACCACAGAAGTAGTAGCAGCAACAAAAACGAGGTTTATGACAGCATTAGCTATTCGTCCTCAGCTGGAGTTGCCAAGAATGCTGATAGCGAGGAGAAGCCGAAGGAGGAAAAAAAATGCAAAAAACAGGAAAAAGATGAAGATCACGTGGAGAAACCCATGATGAAGGAGGAGGATAAACAGCAAGAGAAACGCCAAGCGGAAACTCACAGCTCCTTTGAAGATCATCACGAGCACAAGAATCACATTCATCATGACTACTATGTCCAACCTAAATATAAATTCGAATACGGTGTTAAGGATGAAAAGTCGGGAGATGATAAAAATCATTGGGAAGAACGAGATGGTGACAAGGTTAAAGGTAAGTTTTCATCACCTAATTTCATATTCATAATCCGAAATTAAAATGTTACTCCCCAATAGGTGGTTACATTATTAAAGAAGCCGATGGCTCTACACGCATAGTTGAATATACGGCCGATCATCACAATGGTTTTCAAGCTGTTGTGAAAATAATACCAGCCGAAAAGAAGGAAGAAAAAGGAGGAGAAATTGATTTGTCGAAATATTATTAGGTAGTGTCTAGAAAAAAAGGATAGTAGTCATCATTTTACATAGGCGTAAGGTTGTTTTATTTTAGCAAAATATCATTAACTAAAATTACATAGTTTATTGTATAATAAGTAGCCAATCTAATAAATGTTGTTCATGCAAATCGAAATATATTTAGCGAATTTGGTGCACCATTTACCTTTAATCCGACGAAAATACATATGGGAGCTCTATCTAAAATTGATTTTTCCCAATTTCAATAGGGTTCGTCCTTGGGTCAAATAAATGAGCTGAACAAATTTCATCAAATTTGAATCATAAATGCGACCTGTACTTTGTTTACAATTTAACATGGACAGACAGACGGACGGACATGCATAAATCAACTTGGAAAATTTTTGTTGATATAATTCGAACCTACACTGATTAAAGAATGTCTCTACAAAATTTCAAGTGAAAATCTCAAGAACTCTTGAAGATATAGCCGATTTATTGTGTCAGCATCAAGTGACGGCTGAAGGGCTTCTCAAACTTTAAACGCGTTTTCCTCTAAACATTTTTTTGCGAATGGCGGGCATGATAACTCAAAAACTAATAATTCAATCGGTTCCAAATTTTGCAACGTTTCTCTGGGAGTGTATAGCTCTCGTATGAACTAGGATAAAGTCAATCGGTGAAGATCTTCCTTATTATTTAACTTGGTTTTTGGTAAAAAATCGGCGATTTTCCAAAAATATTTTTTCAAAGGTCCACCATTTTGTTAATTTTAGAGCGAAGTCAATAATCCTAGTTCATACGAGAGCCACACATGTACTCTTTCTAACGCCGTTGGAATTTTCGGATTCCTATGTTCCAGTGAGGAGTTATCATGCCCGCCATCAAAAATAAGGACATTTCTTTAATTACAAAAAAACAACAACAAAACAATAACAAAACTTTTTTGTAAATTATTTTTCTTCTCTTTTAAATCTTCAATTATATATGTTCAAAGTTACAAACCTTAACAAGCATTGGTATTGATTTACCAGCTCATTGAAAATCTTGAAAAATTAAAATAGTGAATGGGGGGGGTTCCCTTAAAAGGAATCCCCCATCACATAAAAGTCTTTCCAATCCTCAAATTACTTCCGAAACGATCTTCTTGATGCAACCACCTCTTTTTTAGAGGATTACCAGTGAAGAAAATTTTACAGGACTTGACGTGTTTTTCCGGTCTTTACTCATCTAGACGTTTCCATTTGGATGATTGGGGTTTGGTTTCAATGTCATATACACACCAATGTTTCGTCACAAGTTATGATCATTGTGAGGTAATTTGGATCAACGATGACGATGGATAACAGCTCCTGAGCGATGTTCATGTGATGTTGAACATCGCTCAGCAATTTTAGAAAAATCTTCGTTGCTGCAAGTAGAGTTGGGCAATCTAGTTCACTTTCTGTCCCTGGTTTATACCAGGGCTGTCCACACTAATACATGCAAATGTTTGTTATTGTATTTGTTTCAAATACACAATCTTCAAATTTATGTTTCTCTCTACTGCGATATAAATTGTAAAAACTTGTATTTCAAATTTTAAGACAGAAGAACATTTTGTATTCAATGCAAATATGCTTGTTAATGTTATATTTTCCTATGTAAAGATAGATTTGCTTCTGTTTCGCCAATCCCCATTATATTGGTCACATATTTCGACTTTTTCGGAATTAATTTTAGCCAAAAATGTCCTAATTATACCCTTTACCACACTGTGGTACATGGTATTATGTCTTTGTGCATATTTTTGTAACAGGCAAAAGGAAACGAGATACACACATGGTTCCTTTTGAGAATATGCATAGAATCACTTTCTGAGTCGGTTTATGCATGTCCGTCCGTCAGTCCGTCTGTAGATGTTAAATTGTAAACAAAGTACAGGTCGCATTTATGATCCGATTTGGATGAAATTTGGCACAAGTCACTTATTTGGCCCAAGGACGAACCCTATTGAAATTGGGAAAATCGGTTCAGATTTAGATAAAGCTCCCATATATATTCTCGTCCGATTTAAGTAAATGGGGAATCAAAGTCCCTCTATATCTTTCGATTTGCATGAAATTTGCCATAAAGTACTGAATTAGGCGCAAAACGATGTGTGCCAAGTTTCGAGAAAATCGGTTCAGATTTAGATATAGCTCCCATATATAGTTTCGACCGAGTACTGAATTAGGTCCAGAATGATGTGTGCTAAGTTTCGTGAAAATCGGTTCAGATTTAGATATAGCTAGCTGAAATTGATGTAGATGCTGTCATAGCTTCCATATGTATTTCGAATGGATGTCTGAATGAAATTAAAATTTTAACAATACGGCGACCGAATAGCGTGTAGTCGACTTTAAATCTGCCCGAATGAAATTAAATTTATCATAGGTTGCAGAAAGACTTGCGTATGTTCCTTGGAGGGGATACATATGTACAATATACCCAAAGTGGTGAAGGGTATCATATAGTCGGCCCAGTCCGACTTTACTGCCTTCCTTACTGGTTTTTTCGTTCCTATTTTGGGCACTGCTGGTTTATACCCAATTTTTGAGTTAGTTGGGTTATTTACCCAAGAATTTACTCACGTCTTTAAAGTATTGTAAAACTATCCATTTTTAATCGATTTGATAATAGGAATCCGGAAATGGGTTGCAAGATGTTATATTGCCGATTCAATATAGTAAATACCCATCTCTAAAAACGTCGAACATATGATCTTGGCGTTTTTCGCCTATTTTCGACCACAAACCATGTTCGAAAATAAAGAAGATCTTACCTAGTTCAATCAAAAGCTATGTGCATAATGAATAACGTGTTGAAAATTTAAACCGCTTGGAATATTAGTTTTTGAGTTATTGTGACCGAAATTCGTGAAAACACTGTTTCGAGAAAACCGCGTTTATAGTTTGAGAAGCTATATCTTCAAGAGTTGTTGAGATTATTACTTGTTGTTGAGATTATTAAAATAATAGGTTCGAAATTGAGCCATATCGGTTCTTAATTAGACATAGCCCTCATATAATTATATCCCCATCTATTCCCTAATTCCTACACGATGTAATTAATCAATAATATATTAGGTATAGCCTCATATAACTTTGCCCTCTAATAGCAGTATTTTGAGGAATTTATAGACATATTCCACCCTACGATCCGTTATCAATATCGGTCTATTGTAATCAATATCGGTCATTGCTGAAATTTTTATTTGGTGTACATTATGGTTTACAATATTCGATTGGTAGAATTGTCTGTATACATAATTTCAAGTAACTGCCTGTTGGAGGGTATCAAAAGTACGAAACGGCCGAACATAACGTTTTTTTTCAATTGCTCCTTTTTGGGTTTGTATGATAAAAACAAAATATGTTTGTACCATTCACCACACTGTGGTACAGTCCATATGTTTGTAACAGGCAAAAGAAAACGAGATAGACACAAGATTCCTTTTGAGAATATGCATAGAATCACTTTTTAAGTCGATTTATGCATGTCCGTCCGTCCGTCTGTCTGTCTGACTGTGCATGTTAAATTGTAAACAAATTTGGCAAAGGTCACTTATTTGGCCCAATGACGAACCCTATTAAAAATGGGAAAATCGGTTCAGATTTAGATATAGCTCCCATATATATTTTCGTCCGATTTAATGTAAATGATGTACCAAAGTCCCTATATATCTTTCAATTTGCACGAAATTTGGCATAGAGTAATTAATTTGGTACAGTGTACTGAAATTGGTCTAGAATGATGTGTGTTAAGTTTCCTGAATATCGATCCATATTTAGATATAGCTCCTATATATCCTTTCTTCCGATTTTATTTAAATTGTGCACTAAAGACCCAAAGTTTGTCCGATTGCCACACAATTTGGTACAATGAACTGTAGTTAATATATGTTAATCTCTGGGAAGTCTCATTGAAATCGCTTTAGATTTTGATATAGTTTCTCCGATTTTACACAAAATTGTTACAAATTTTGCACAACGTACTGAAGTTAGTATAACCTAGAAGTTGGATCTAAATGCTTCACCTAGATGGGTCCAATCGGCACAAAATTTTGCACTACATACTGAAGTTACTATAACATAACGTGTGGTAAATTTAGTTGAAATCGATTTAGATTTAGATATAGCTTCTATATGTAGTTTCGTCAGATTTTAAGTAAAAGGTGCACCAAAGACCCAAAGTTAGGCCGTTTGCTACACAATTTTGTACAACGTACTCAATTTAGTTTAGCGTACTGTAAGAATCGGTTCAGATTTAGATATAGCTCCCGTGTATAGTTTCGTCCGATTTTAAGTAAATGGTCCAGCAAAGACCCAAAGGTATGCCGATTTACACAACATTTTGCACAACGTACTGAAGTTAATATAACCTGGCGTGTGGAAAATTTTGAAATCGGTGCAGATTTGGATAGAGCTCTTATATATATTTTCTCCTGATTTTAAGTACATGACGTACCAAGAACGCAAAATGTGACCGATATGCACAAAATATACTGAAATTAGTATAACTGTGACAAGCTTATATATATATATTAAAAAATTCGACGTCAGTTAGGATTCATCTGTTGAATATACCCAAAGTAGTGAAGGGTATCATATAGTCGGCCCCGTCCGACTTTACTACTTTCCTTACTGGTTTAACAAGTCCACAAATAGTGGACTTGTTTGGTATGAAGATTTTAACTCCCTGAGAATCCGAAATTTTACTTAACACCAATTTGGTTGATTTGAAATTTGAGACCAAGTGCCAAGGCAAAGTCCAATAATAAAAAGTTTTGCTAGAAAGTTTGACAAATTTTAATCAAGTCATGTACTCCAAGTAGCACCCTCAACTTCTAAAAAAGTCCGTTCAGCTGAAAATTATTTTCCTAAAATTATATAAACAACATTAAAACTTTTTAATTTTTATTACCCATTTGAATTATTTCATAGCCACTTAAACCGTTTTATTACCATATCTATAAGTTTATAGCCTTTTATTCAAGTGGCGTCTTTTA